TATTTTAATCTAATATGATCACACAATGAAAACAACATGAGGATTATTTGAATCTGATCTTTTTTCCTTTTCTTTCTTTCTTTCTTTCTTTTTTTAGTTTTTTTCTCTTCTCCTTTTTGTGAACACAGTTACCACAGGGCTGTATATATATATACAGCTTTGCCTTACGGTTTTTGGTGGGATGTTATATCTACTAATCATAATAATTCACTTGTTTTATCAACATTATCAGACAAAATTACGACACTTTCAGAGCTGATTTATTGTAGATATCACTGGGTCATATACCTACAGCTTATTGCTAGGTCAGGGCCAGAAACGTTTTATTGGTACATATGTAGGTCGTATCACTTATGGAAAAGGTGACGAAAGCAGTAAAATCCATATTTATAACTACATGTATTTGTCAATTGGGTAAACGGCTTCACTGTATCACTAATGTCAAATTCATATAAGTCAATGCATATGGTTGATTGCGGGCACAACCACATTTTATTTCCGGCCACTGTATGGTTTATTGTAAGCTTATTGAAATAAATTTGTATCATTTCTTGCGAGCACAGAAGAGACGTGTGATCGGGTTAACCTGATATTGGTTCTGTGCACGCTTTTACAAATACCTTTTTTCGTCATACACGAAATTTGATGAAATCGAATACGACCTCTGATCAAATGCACAATTGAAAAGGAAACATATTTTTGTGAACTTTTATCAAAATTTGTAGAAAACTTGTCGAAAGTTTTAAGCTTATTGAAAATGTCAAGGCCATTTGACAAATACCATTTAACAGTTACACGATAACCATACTAATGGCATAACAAAACAGCAAATGATTATATCATTAACAGTGTGTGATGAGTAAAATGAATTACAATTTCTTATTTTACAAAAGATTACCAAGTTGATCTATAGAAAAGGTAATAAAGGTTCTTGAAAAGAAACTGTCTAAATAGTTTTGCCTAATATCGTTACTTCATTAGAAGACATTATGATTCAGAATTAAACAGAATCCCTAAAAAAAGCCCAATATGTCAAAATTGAACATGTTCCAGGCTCAATTGATTTAGCCTGTTCTTGGACGGTAGTGGTAATTGCAAGCTACCATCAAAGCCCTCTAGCACCGGTTTTAGTTAACATGAACTGGTAATTTGAATTTTTAAACATCCGCAGATGTCTTCATAAGGCGGTTATCATGAAACATTCAATGTGACACGTTCGTGTCATTCCATGAAAATCGGCAAATGAACCCCAAATCACATTATACAAGTTATTTCCACATAAATGACGTATTCTACCAGAAAACTCAGGAAAGTAAACTTTGATATATTTCATATGAAAACATGTTATAAACATATATAAAATCACGCTTAAGTAATACACTGCAACTCCCAATAATATGATACATGCTATCCGCCAGAACATTTAAGACAGTCATCCACAGTATACTTTATATACGAGTAATTTTTTTCAATCGATTATAGTCTTTTCCGTACTACATAATTATAATATTTTACATTGTAGGCAATTATCTTGAACATTTTTTACATAATAATAAATGACAATTTCCTTTTGCAAAATATTCTACGATTATAATCGGGAAATAAAATCCGACACACCTATCAATTCAAAAAGGAAACATTTTTGAACATGTAAATTAATTTATAAAATATGAAAATGACGTTAAAGTTATTATGTTATTTTGGTTTACAGTCACGTTACACGTATGCACTGGCCTGTCGGACAAAAACACATGTTTATTTTGATACATGGCAAAATGTTTTTAAAACTGGGTTGAATACTTCGTTAATGTTTTACTCGACAGAGGTAAATGCAACAATTTATGTTTATTAATAGAAGTCATCAGTTTCATTCATCAAAATGCACTTTATCACAGGAACAGAAAAGAACACAGCTTTATTTTAAAATAGGGTTCAACGTGACATATAATCCAAATAGATCAAAATGGTTTTTGTAAATTTAAATAAAAAAGAATTCATAAAAAAGACTCTGACGAAAGAATGCAATTTCGCTGCAAAAATTAAATTATTTAACTGGTGAGAATGTCAGGCGTTTTTTTATTGTTATGTATTTTTGTTATAAAATTGTACAATGTTTTTTTCTAAGTTTCCTGATAAAGACGGTTTGAAATGCACATTTACATTTCCCTTTGTTTGGTTGTCATAGACTGTAATGGACATATCATAAAAAGGTTACAGGGCAAATTTCCCAATTTATATTGCTAATGGCCGGGGAATGTCTTAGGACAAAGCATGAAAAGGTTAGAAGACATATTTTCCTATTTAATACTGTAAACGATTTGAGAAGGTTTAAGGGCATAACATGAAAACTGTATAGGGCAGTTCCCTTATTCAATACTGTAAATTGCCGGCCGGAGAAGGTTTAAGGATATAACATAAATAGGACACAGGACAGTTCCACTATTCAATACTGTTAATTGCCGGCCGGAGAAGGTTTAAGGACATAACATAAAAAGGACACAGGGCAGTTCCCCTATCAAATACTGTAAATAGCCGGCCGAAGAAGGTTTAAGGACATAACATAAAAAGGACACAGGGCAGTTCCCCTATTCAATACTGTAAATTGCCGACCGGAGAAAGTTTAAGGACATAACATTAACAGGTTATAGGACATATTATTCTATCTAATTTTGCACGCCATAACATAAGGCAAGTCTCTATGACGTGTATGCATGATGTGCGTTCATATTCGACATTTGGCATTTACGTTTTAGGTAAATAAATAAATAACGTGTAGTTACGATAATTAATTACTGATATAAATAAAGAAATGTCTACTCTGAAAGTTGTAAAACAAATGGAAAAAAGTGGGGGGTTTGTCGAATTACGTTTTCATAGTCTAAAATTGTAAGAAAAGCTGACGAAAATTCTTGTTGTTTATTTCATGTCATGTTTTTGAGAGCTCTCGTAAATTTGTAATTATTAAATGTTATATAATGATATACAGTCGTACCTCTCTGTAACTTAATTATTAAAATACCAACTGCGTGTGCATCTTGTTTTATGATACCATTTTCATTGATAAGAAGAAACAGTATGTGCAAAACTTTTTGTCTTGGTATAAAAGGACATTTTAAATTTTAGGCCAATGTTAAATATTTATATAAATGCTATAAATAAATTCAGAAAACAAGACCAGAACTTTTAAATATTTCCCTAGTCCTGATCATTCTTTAAATTATGTCCTGTGCTTTTTTCATATCACAAATTTTAGGACAAATATTATGTTAAGTTAAATTTATGTTAAATTTGTTTAAGTGCACAAGAACATTTTTAACAATTCAGACTACAAATAAACATAAATAACAAACAGTATTTAGGACTTGCACGAACACGGTGTTGGTCCATTCAAATTTCGTGCTCTTGTGTTCTATAATAAATCAGTCACATTTGACGCTTAATTGTGGATTCCACTGTTGTTGACGACTTAAATACTGTCTTTAACTTTAAATATCAACGCCATCTAAGTCAAATGAGAACCGAAGTATAATATATTAGCCATCTACCTTTCTCAGAATTCTTCACTCTGTTGTAACATTGTTTAAATTGACAACTTTAAAAACTCCTGTCTGCTGGCTGGTTATACAACTTTAATTCTTCCGCCAAGGAATGAGGTACTGGGGAATACACAATAAACTTTTAATATCATCATATAACACACGAAAAACTATACAGATGCAATAATACGCTTTTAATATGACCAATAAAACTAGGGATGACTTAAAATGGGGCACTTTAAAATGTTCAAGAACTATTTTCTTGTTTTACGACAAAGGTACTTGCTGACAATACTCTATACTTTACTCGAATACACGCTTTCTCGCAATACTCTGTTATTACTTGAATACATCTTTTCTGACAATACTAAATATATGCTTTCTGGCAATACTCTGTAATTACTCAAATATGTGTAGTCTTTGTTTGTTACCAGTGCAAAATGCCTACACTTAGTGCTCGCAATTTATCACTGAAATGCACAAGATAAATTTTCAGAAGGCACTTACAATTTAAACATGTGGTCTTTTTTTTTCATTGAATTAAAGTGTTAACAAAAACGAATTTAATATCCATACATCAATTTTTTTACCTACCAAATATCCATCCATTCGTGCATCTTCCATTACTATCACACCATTGACGAGGACCTATATAGTTGGATCAATTACGAGTACAATAATTTAAATGTAATAAATGCAAGAATTAGTCTGATTTTCTATTGTACTTATAAGATTTCTCTGTATCTGAAACCTTATTAACGAAATAGAACTATATCTATTTCTACTCATTCTCGCGATAAATGGATTATAATGAATTGCTGTAATATTGGTATTAATATTAAGGTTACTGTTTTAGATAGATACGCTATTTATACTGTAATTTCAGCCCGACAAGATGGTCTGGAACGACCTTCTAAGTAATATTGGTATTAATTTTAAGGTTACTGTTTTAGATAAATACTGTAATTTCAGTCCGACAAAATTGGCTGGTACCATTATTTTTTTAATAGATAGATACGTTATTTATACTATAATAATAGCCTGACAAAATGGGCTGGTACCGTTACTATTTTAGATAGATACTTTATTTATGCTATAATTTCAGCCCGACAAGATGGGCTGGTACCACCTTCTATGTATCTGTTTCATGACTTTGGCGGCGAAAGCACAAAATGGAAACTCACGTAAGCTGCTTACCAAATAAACCCCACAATACTGCAATAAGATATGAAGAATTACTGTTTAATACAGGCTTAAGAATTTAAAGAACGTAAATGTTGAAGTTTGACTGACACGAACAGCTTTATAACTTCTATAAAAAAACATGAAACAAAAGATAAGTGTTCTTAGTTGCTGCATTATAAAGTAATGACCCATATCTTATTGCAATATGTAAATTTATTCTTATAGTTACTAACAATGATTAATTAAGAATTAACTTCTAGGTGTACTGTTTAATTTCAGCCCGGCAGCTCAGACCGGCCCAGTATGACCTGGCTAAGTCTACTGTGTATATTTCTTCTGGCACTTATCGCCCGAACTTACGGTTGTAAGTATGCTGCGGACCTTTTAGCATTGTAATTTAGTCATGCTTTATGTTTTTTTTGTTTTTTTTTAACTTTTGAGGGGAAAACGAAATCGGATATAAAATTTGAATGCGCTTCATAAAATTAGTACTTGAAAACCTTGAAAATTGAACTCTCTTAAGCACAAATTAATAGTCACCAAATTCCTCAAACCCCTTGGACTTTGACTTTTGGAACCTTATATCCCGGGTAAAGGCCCAGTCTTGGTAAGATATTCATACAGAGGTCCTTACCTCAAACTGCGAGTTTGATAAATCCACTGTCACTCAGTTATTTTGGCGCCGAAAGCCACTACAGTAATATGGCTGTGCGGGGATTAATGGGTATAAAATATACTGTGTATTTCTCCTGCTATTCCCCTACCATGGCTCGGGGATGTCTTGGATTACAATTTACTGGTATATTAAAAAGAAGATGATAAAATATAGTTGACATAAAATATAAAAAGGTTAAACAATAAAGCAAGGAGAGCGTTATGTCAGTCAAATATTAAGCTTTATATGTTACATCTATTAACTACAGTTTACTTTTTTGTCATTCTTTTTTTTATATGTTTTTTCTTTTTGCGACATACATGCATACGGATGTAAATTACGTATCTCTTTTTTTCTTGTTAGATCGTTAATACTGTTATACATGACTGCCTGTATGTCAACTTTAATATCATTCATTGACCAACTTTTTGTTAAATCTCATTGGCAAGTAGTACAGTCACTTTGTAATTTAATGATATACATCAAGATGTGGGAAGCCAGTTGTCTTACCTTTATTTTTTTATTATTTTACATTAATATAATTTTATTCCTATTTTCTTGTTCTTCTTTTCGTTGTTGTTGTTGTTGTTTTCTTAATATATAATTATGTTATACGTTTAAAATTGTGTTTCATCAAAGACCGTACATTGTGGTTTCCGTATTCCTTAAAGTACAGGATACATTGTGGTTTGTGGTTTCCGTATATCTTCATACTTCTTGGGGGGAATTCTCAAAATTAAATTAGAAATTATCAAATATTCAGTTTTGTCAGTTGGGGAAAAGCCTATATAAGGTTAGTCAGCCAACAGAAAAGAGCCTATTCGGACTGCACGTGCAGGCGAATCTAGCTCTATACTTTTGGTAAATAAGGTCAGCCTATTTCTAGACTCTCATACTCTCCTTTTCATTCTGAAGTCGAATGCGGAAAAACCGCAACAATTTCAATCATGTTTATTTAGCGACCCATTTTTGTTTTATGCCATATAGTTTTACATTAAGTATGATAAATCCAGCAATATAAAATGTACCTGTATGGTGTATATGTTGACATCTTATGACATTTTAAAACAACAGTGAAAGATGACAAGAGTGGTTTTATCGACAGCTCTCTTGATTTGATTAATCATCATGACGCTCTATAACTAACGTTTATTTAGTTACGGAAGCGTATAATGGCCACCAGGTAATTAATAATATTGATATGGAGATGGTGCGATAATGAATATAGCTTTATATTTTTACTTTTTGAAAAATAAATATATCGTGATTGACATAGACAGTGTTTTATTTTACGATATTTGTAGCAATTTCTTTTAAGATTCGACGATGGATATCATATTGAAGGTTAAACTTTGAGCATTAAGATATAATATAGTTTTATTCTAGTTTCTTTCATGGATTAATGTATAATTGCAAAAATAATACAGTTGTTAAATAATACCATGTCTTGTTGACAAATATTATTTAGCAACTTTTGTGCGTAGTAAATATTTTCCTACACAAATGATCGAAAAGAACATAGCATAGAATAAACTAATATACTTTTCACGTGTTAAACACTTGTACATAGTTATAAGAAACTTTCTGGACATATACTTAATATTAAATGTACCTTTTTACATAACTGTAAAATATATATTAAAATGATACGAATGTATGTATCACATTCGTGTGAAAGTGTGAAGACTCCGACTAAAACTTGGTTAGAAATGAACATATTTCAGATTTTGACAACACAAATTGTAAACAAAACCTACATTATAACGGTTACTACTTTGACAGGTATTACGATATACAGTTAATGTGATAATGGCGACCTGTCCAAGTAATAATAGAAAATGTCGTCTGGTGGACAGTTGTCGTTTGTCAAACATGGCGTTTGTTTTACCGCTTTCCAGCACAGTAAAGTAATTTCATTACAAGAAAGACATGTATTACACTATGCAATGGTGACAAACTACTGTCAACAAAGATTCGTTCAAAGTAATTCATTACGGTCATTCTGAGAGAGTTATCTAAATCAGAATTCATGATCAACAGGTCTCTTTTTCAAAATTGGCAATTGTTTTATTCTCTACACTTTAATTTTTATTTATCTTATCCCTTATCAGAATTTCATTAAATCAGCTTCCATCAAGATTTAAAAAGTTTAAAATCCAATGCCAATATTGCTGTTCGTGGCAAACTGGCTGAGTCATCTATGGAACACAATTTTAGTATTTCAAAGATTATAGTCGACAGCAGCTGCTCTTACAATTGTTTAAAATAATTGCCATTGTTACAGCTATTTGGGAAATTATATTGTCTTGTATTGACTGTTAATACCAGAGATTTTTTATAACATGAATCTCATTTTTTTTCAAATTCGGAAGCCATCACTGATTTTAGTTTCTTAATAAAATGATTAATTTCTCGAAATAAGATTACACAAGATTGTTATGAAAATATAAAACAGAAAATTGTGATGATATTTTCAATATGTGTCGCTTAAAAATCCACTACAAGTAATGCTTTAGCATGTTCATTTGTTTCTCAATGACAGTTTCTTTATTAGATCTCCACGTGTAAAAAGATTTTAATGATGCACACGATAAGCGTGACAAAAATACGTCAAACAAATACCACAAAGTTGACTTCATAAATTATAGCCGATGACGCATGCCAAATTTTTTCGCTCTGTGCACCATTTTAACTGTGACGTAAATGTCAAAAATGATAAGTTTAAAGTTATTTCCCTTGAAATAAGGCATATACTTACTTTAAAGAAATAACCTTTACTTTTTCACCTTGTAGTTGCCTGTCACCAAAGATGGACCCTGATATATGCGAACAGTGGAAACGGAACTACGGTATACGGTGAAAAGAAAGACCTTATCAAGGCCACGCTATCCGGTGCCGACGTAAGAATATTCATTCCATCATGGGGACCAGGCGGATATTTGACAAGCGTTCAAAACACACAGACCATCAGGAACAATGTATGCGCCCAGGCGTTATTCCATGTCAGTAAAGCGTCGTACGACACATTCCAGGAAGTGCCGTATTTTTGGTTTGTAAATCTGTGCAGTACTGGCCACGTTCACATGGCACGATATTTCATTGGCAACCACGTTTCTGCGGGAATAAATGGCGATTATGTTGACATGCAGTGGTATATTAGGTGAATATCTATAATCCTTACTTTTCCTTCTCCATTCTCGTAAATCCATTTGTATTATCAGATAGAAAGAACACTAAGCCAATACGCTGTAAACAATGTTTACCAGACATGGCTTTCTCTCGTATTTGCCACACAGTATAGTTGGTAATGTATTTTTACTACATGGGGTATGTTTCCTTTTCTTTATTAGTACCAAAAATATATGTATTTTCTTAAACAATGAGTGCCAGATATTTGATTTAATTCAAATTTCCTTTTTGCCTACAAGACAGCAAGGTATAATCATATTGGACTATGTTTTCATATTATTGTTATACAATTTACTACGTCACTTCTACATGCACTCTTGTAGACCTGCCTTCTAAGGATGGAATAAAACCTTATTCAATAATAGTTTTGACTCATGTAATTATACTTTAATACGTCACTTCTACAGGCACTTATGAAGACTTGTCTTAAAAAGATATTTTAAGGGTGGAATAAAACCTTCTTTTTTTTCCAAATGCTCAGAAACGACCATTTTTGTATTTAACAGACGGTACCCCGATCCCGTCTACACTCACACTCAAGATGGAACAGTCATTCGTGGAAGCGTTCGTGACGTCATATACGCAATCGAGGCTGGTGCTGATATTCGAATTGTTGACCGCCAGCTAGGCTATGGCGTCCGCATGGATAATCTTGAAGTGTCTTTCGATCGTACGGTAGCTGCAGGCCAGTCATTGTGGCATGTTAGCGAGAGAATGAATGGACCAAATCTGGAGTTTCAGGGTGATGATTATTGGTGGTTCTCCGTCTGGTCTACGGATGGAACAGTTGATGTGTCAAGATGGAATGTAGGAGAGCACGTGAAGCGGGGAAACAGTAGTATGCAGCAGTCAATGAACTGGTATAATGTTTACTTAGTTTTGAAGTCATGTCTAAGTTATGTATTTTAAATGGTAGATATTTTCTTTAATAAGGTTCACAGACCTTGATGAGAATATATACGAGGCGCCGAACTGGTATTTCCACCAATAATAACGTCACAAAGGAAACACCCTTTAATTTGATATAAAATGTACCGAAAATATGTACATATCGAAAGAGGGCGAGAGCGCCTCCATGGTTATAACTATATTTCACGACGTAGATTTGATCTATCACTAAGATGTTTGTTAAAACAAGGCTTTAATTATAAACCGTGGTTAAAATGTTTGCTTAATGAAATGAAGAGTCACACCATCAGTAGGTGGAGCTAGAAAGTATTTATTGAACAACTTGGACTTTGATTTGTTTTGTTGAATGAAAACTAGTAAATTTATAATATATATTCACTGTTTTAAGGTATGCCGACAGTTGTTGGCAGATGGCATACAAACACGACGCCCAAGGTCAACTCGAAGATGGATCTCTGCAGTTACTCCGCCTGGCGGTTGAAACCGGTCATAGAATCAAAGTTCTTATAGACGGCGCTATAACAGTCGAACCTGATCAGATCAATGTTAGGGGTGGTCATATTAACGCTGAAATATTGAGTCTTGCTTCCAAACAAGATTTGAAATCATTCACCGATGACGTGTTTTGGGATTGGCGCGTGCTCACTACAACCGGAACTGAAACTTCCGAATACTTCAATGTAGGAGAGTATTTCAACAGAGGAAACACAATTAAAAAGAAGCCGATGACCTGGTTTATAGACACCAGAACTTGGAACAGAGTTCTCGTAAATGATAAAGATGGTACAGTCCTCGCAGGTTCCAAACAACAACTTATAGACGCCATTTTACTCGGAGCTGAAGTCAGATATAAACTTACATTTACCTCAAATGCTATTACCCACCAAGCTGATAATTTAGAAATAAGCGCTGATGGAAACGTTGGCGCCATGCACGTTCGCTCAGTGAGCCTTAAATTTACACCAGGATCACGATACGAGGTGACATTCCAGAACAGTCCATATTGGTGGTTTACAATCGTATCGACAACAGGGAAAGTAGACATTTCAAGATGGACTGTAGGGGAACACGTTAATAGAAGGCACACTCACCTGTTTGTAAAAGTGGAATGGTTTGTTAGTTTATAAATATACATGAATATTGTAACATGTTTTCGCGACCCGTTACATACACATGAATACGTAACATGCATTCGCGACCCGTTACATATGAATGCCGTATATAGCGATTATATTAATTTGTACTTGATATTTATCACTTATATAATTTATTGAATTAGTGCATTCTAGTCCTTTATAATAAATAAACTAAAAAAAAACAATACAAAAAGTAAAAAGAAAGAAATGCGGTGTTAGCGAACCGGTATATTATCTAAAATTGTTTTTGATACTTACATACTTTCATCATAATTGATTTGTAGAACAGCTATATTTACAGCCATAAATCGTTGTATTCATACGTTACAGTAACATTACATTCTGGCAGTTTTGATAAATAATCATCACGAGGGCGCGAGGGAACCGAATACAAAGCTATATATATATATATGTGTGCATGTATTCGAATTATTACTAAGTGGGGACAAGTTTGTCGAATCCTTTTTACAACTGCATTAAAACTAGTTTATTTTAACATATCTAAATTGGAACAAAACGTGCAACATCTTAGAATATGGCTAAAAATGAATCTTAAAACTTTCGAAACTAACCTCATTTTGTAATACACCTGGTATACTTGAATTACATTACATGGTCAAGAAAATCATTTTGTTTAAAGACTTTGTAATGTTTTTTAAGTATTGAATACGAATAACTTTTTGTGTCATGAATAACTTTTTGTGTCATGCGTATAAAATTTGTTAAATTGATTTATACAAATAGCATAACGATTATATACATGTATGACATATATAATTATTATTCACATGTAATAAAACATTTTTTACATTATTACATTGCCGCCTTATCTTTAAATTATCATTCACAATAACTTACATGCCAGTATTAATGCAATAAAAAAGAAGATGAACACAGTGTATATTTGGTATCTATAATTCCTAATTGAAAACGATATCATTTTTTTGTTGTTTATAACTATCTTAAATGTTAAAGTTTAGAAGCTTTGTTAGACCGTTATACAGGATAAACCGTATACGAGGTAACAAGTCATATTCATTTCAAATTTTTAAAAGAATAGTTTAAAACATATTCTAAATAGTCCAGAATGTTAGTGGAAATCGATTATCAGAGATGACATTCTACAAGCGATGGAAGTAATCGATTTCGCTAAATTATATACATGTATTTTGTATAATTCTATTTTCGAATTTGTCACATTTATTGGCCGTGCAAGATCCTCGGTTAACATCCGGCCATTTTTTTTTTCAAACACAAGCGGGCATCGATGTTCCGTAAACTAGCTGAACAGTAAGAAAGAAATCTTAAGTCTCTGGCAGAAAACAAACCCACTGATGACATAGTGATTCGACTCAGACATGGAGCTTTCTATTTCATGATAATATAAAAAAATAAACCTTCTTTGTGACTTTTAGTCTGTTTATAGGAGAGACGATTCATAATTAATGCATTTTAGCATGTTTCTTTTTTTTTCGTGACAGCTTATTTTAATCGCAAGCAACAAAGTACTCTCGTCTTGCCTTAACCTAAAGATAAACTGTAACAAAAATCTTTCATTTTCATTATGCTGTAAAGGTAAACACTAACGTTACTGGAAAACAATTGACAGCAATGATGACGGCCATTTGTTGAGAGTTCTTCGACCTGATGCCTACAAGAGTTAACACAAATCGGTTTGATAGTTCATTAGGTCCAAAAGTATCACAACATTCACAGATTATGTACATTTATACTTTATCGCGGAGTATCTATAGTTTTAATGTAAGTGCAAATTTCGGTACTTCTACCCCGGTCATATTTATAAAAGGCTAACGCACGTTTTTCTGTGTTACAACGTCTGTATAGTCCGAAGAACGTTTGATGCCCGAGCCCGGTAGGGCGGGGCTCCAATAGTTCCGAGGGACTCTGCAGACTTTATAACACGAAATAAACGTGCGTTGACGCTATTATAGCATAAAATCTTAAAACAGATAAATGATGTATATTTGATACAAAACACACACATTAAATCCTTGTGTTTGGACGGTATTTAACCAATTCTACATGTTTTACGTATGAGTTTTATTTTTTCCGGGGTCAACAACTTGGGAAATACAAATGCTCAGAACCGAACAAAATTTCGAACTTTAATTGATTTAACAAAGCTTAACATTGGAGATTTATTAACTCAAGAAAAAAATTACATTAATTTACTATATCCAAGACAAAACATGACCTTCAGAAATTTCTAGAAATATTTCTGATTGACGGTAGAAAAAAAGATCAGTGACAACATTTTTTTTTCAAGCACACAAGTGTATAAAAAATCAAGCACTAAACATTATTATCTCAAAGAAATATAAAGAGCATTTATCAATAATAAACATCAATAAAACAAGAAGAAATGTTAACGGTGATTTGAATTCACTATAATGGTCTGTTTAGATTTTAATGACACCCTGAAAAGCCCCTTGTAAAATCTCGCAGGTAATCTAACAGTAACCCACGCTCCGTGTATTCATTTTTTTTATTTCACTTCTTTCATTACAAGAGTTTAAATTGTATTAGGTCCCTGTATACAAACAAGGAAATTATTTACACCAGTATCAATGGATTTCATTGCTATATTTTACTTTGATCGTATTAGGCTAAAAAAATATGGTACATGTTTGAAATATAAAAACTTGCTGATTTGCAATAAAGCAAACTTAATTCAAGACATAATTTAGGAATAAGAATAAAAAAATCAAAGATAACTCGCCCAAAATAAGAATAAATTTAAGAATCAAGATCATTATTTGAATCATTTGTGAAACATGCATAATATTATCTTGTTAAGTAATTATGACATTATTCTACAATTTCACCATCTTACGCTCCACAAATAAGCTAACATTAAATTTCTCATCTATTACAAAATACAAGGGAAATTAATCTAAAATACAAGTTTCGATCCTGGGTTGCGTTTCACAGAAAGTCCTTAGTTTGAAGTCAGTTTAAGACCATATTTGAGACAATTTTGCGTTTTAAACAAATGGACACCTGACTTATTTCCATCAAATGCCGAATAGCATTGCACTTGAACATTTACATATTGTGGATTGAAGCACGTGCTGTAGTAGTAAGTAATTTTTCTTGAGAGAGCAAATTTAATAAAAGTTGGTTTTTTTTACTTATGATGATAACATTTATTTAAACGGACCTAATTATATAGTCCTAGGACTATTTACTAAACGCAGATTTACTGATCGCGGACACTTACCTAGCTAGATGAGATATGTGTGTGAGTAATTCGGAATAGTAGCAAACCTTTTTTGACATGGATTAAGAAGCTGTTTACGGAACCGGTACCGACATTCTTATAGGCGATAAAAAGTTTTTAGTAATTGATATTATATTGACGAAACTACGATAATTATAAATGCCCTTTAACTTAAAAACTATACAAGTAGATTTAACAATTGGCTTCAGGTGAGGTATTAAAGAGTCTTTTCTAAATATTCAGTGCTGAGTACTGAACACCTCTTAAATCGGCTATGGGGTGGGGGATTCGTGAGAGATGTTTATTTTACACACATCATATAGAATGCAATAATAGAAGTGCGGTCTTTACACACATACAGAATAATGTTCGGTTCCCTAGATCTCATTCCGACCATAGCTTTCTTAATCCCCCACATCCCTAACAATCTTAAGGGTGGGGGATAACTAGAGTTACAATTTAACACTTATCACGCGTACACAGGAGGGGTAGACCAAAACGTAATATAGATGTGTTCAACAATAAAGTCAGTGGTTCTACTCAGGTGCCCGTTCGTGCCTGAAATAAGCACGGAAGGGCACCTGAGGTCTTCCTCCACCAGTAAAGCTGGAACGTCGCGATATGACCTATACTGTGTCGATGTGACGTAAAAGTCAAAACAAACAAACAAAAACAATAAAGTCAAGTTTATAAAAGAATATTTTATTCAGAAATCTACAAGGAATTTTATCTTAGGCAAATGTTAGAACGTGACGGCCAGGCCAGCTGGTCCAAACATAACAAAACTATATTACAATGTTTAACAGTAAAACAAATGCTATAAAATACTACAAATAAAACTGTTATTAACAAAAACTGAAATAATTTATAAAACTTTCTGGAATTAATTAAATAATAGAATTTGTAACATAAGGATTTATACAAGACAAAAAGGTTAAAGTATAATAAGACTTTTGGAATTAATTAAATCATAAAAGTTGCAGCATGTAAATTTGACAAAAAGGTAAAAAAAACGATCACAAAGTCTTTTGGTAAAGCATATTAGTCTGTTGGCAAACGGTACCTTAGATAAACATAACAATTAGTTCCTTATCAAAAAAAATAAATATTGTTTTAATTATCTAAACATGATAAGCTTTATTTTAATCATAAATAAATATAGCTAACCGTATTTTTTCTAAACATATTAGCATGTTGACAAATGGTTCACTGGCTGTGAAAGACATTTCAACGTTTTTTTTATGTTTTCCTTTCAGTGTACTTAGTACCCTAAAATATTTTTTGAATAGTTACCCTTAACACTTTTGAAAAAGGCTTCCTTTACATGTTGGTGTTTGAACTTTGAATAAGATAATTATGATGTTTTAGTCTACATAAAACCACACACATTTCTGTATATTAAGTTATTAACCAGGACAAGTACAATCATAAGACAAGCAAAAACAAAAAATAATAAATATCAAAAACACAGATTAAGTAATAAATGCATTTTTGGACGGATTTAATAAAATCACACAAGTATATAATTATTAAATTGCATATAAATTACATGAGGTCATAACCATAATAGCTTTTTTCTTTTTAAAGATAATCACAGATTCTTTCTTATATACATGTAAATCAGGGTGTTTCAAATAGAATGATCTTGAAACAGACTATGTAAACCCTTCTTGCTACAATTAAACATGTTTTGGGATAAATATTTCAGAAAATAATGTTTTTTTAAACCTATATTTGTTGAAAAACATAGATTGCTTGTTCAGAATATTTGCCGATAAACGGTGCCATTTTGAAAATGCACCAAATTAACCATTCTATTTGAAAGACCCTGTATAAATAAAAATGTTAGTCTTCCTATACAACAATGAAACTAAAGTTTATATTTTAATTAATTCAATAACATATCTATAGAGTTTACTATATAAGTTTTTTTAAATTTTTTTATTGGTTTATCTATGGTAAAAATAAACAAGAGCTGATGGAAGCTCAACGTGCTCCACTAATCTCAGTGCTTGATAGTAAATCAAGAGCCTGGATAATGTAAAATTTTCTATGTTCCAAAAAGGGTCATAACTCTGTTGAAACCCATGTTAATGTCATAGGCCTTAGACAATGACCTATTATACTTTCACACAAGTAATCCATCCCTAATTCCATCATAGTCTTTATAATTTTCTTGCAAAAGAAGTTGCATAGAAAGTTATAAAATTTGTTAATAAAGAAACATAGAAACTCCAAAGCTAAAGAATTCATTTACAACTATGGAAAGAAAAAAGTATAAATCTTATGCTTATGAAAATGCATATGGTTAACTATTTTTCTGAGAAATATTTAATCATTTTTAAGTATATCATGTGTAGTAGCAAAATACTGTAATATACAAGTAACAAAATTAAAATCATGTTTTTTCTGTCAATTTACTTTTGTTCTAGTAACAATCCTAATATATGTAATGAGGGTATTCAAGTTTTTTCTATAAATACAAGTTTACTTTCAACAACTGATATGAAATATGATAATTTTCATATCACATGATGAAAATAAATTCTGCATTTATAGAAAAAAAAACTTTTCTGTTTATAATATGCCTTTTCTTTTTTCTGACCTTACAATTTGGAAGATTTCACCTTTCATTTTGTGTATTGGCTGCATTAAGAAGAAAGTAGTCTAACAAAATATGAATGAAAATATGGAAAATATTTCTCTGCAGTTAAAATATTGTGAAAATATGGAAAATGAAAATACTAGTATGTATTTTATTTCATTCATATTTCTCAATAGAGTTGTACAATATTTTATTTATAAGTATATAATAAACAAAAATATCTGTGGTGTGATATTTGGCAAGAAAATTTAATCAAAATAAATGCAGGCATTTTTTATATGTTCCATAGCAACAAAAAAAAACCTTTTTTTATTTCGGTAGGTTAAGCAATGACACCAGTTGTAACTGAAATTTAAAATCTTTACTGTGTATAAAGCTATACCTGATGAAAAATTCTACAAAAAAATTTGAAAATAAGAAAATTATGTTGTTTTCATATCCTAAGTTACCGGAGTAGTTTCTTGAAAGATTTGTAACATGTGTATATAGATTACTTAACATAAATATTTTCATAAACAGAATAAAATGTTCCAGAACAAAATATTTCACAGCTATTTCTGAAATATTTGCAATGATTGCACACATAAATGTACCACTCACTTTCAATAATTTCAGTAATTAAGTATTTTCTTATCATTTTATCACAAAATAAACAATAATTTTAAATTCATAGACAGCAAAAATATAGCTTTATACACTTAAAAGTACTTTGCTTTGATTTATATCAAGATACTAAAAACATGAATTTCACCAATACCATTATCATCAAAGTTTCTTTATATCATTCAGGCTATAAATCAAATATTGATTCAAAGTAATATAGGAAGACTTATGGTATTAATGTAATAAATTTGGGGAAAAAAGTGCTATACAATGAGTGTAAAATATATAATGAATGATTTGAGAAATCTCACTGATATACTATTCAATACATTATTAGACAGCAAGACTTCATTCAACAATAACCTAAATTGATAATAACCCTTGCTGGTATGAAAAAGGAAAACTTTATGATATGGTTTAAATATAACAAAAAATGGTGTAAAAATAAGTAATAACTTGCGTAATATAAACAAATAATCAATGGGAACATAAATTCCTTTTTCTTGGCTCCAAGATTCAATCCATGTAAAGAAATTTGAGCATTGTTAGTTATATTTTATAAATATAAATTGTTCTGAAATAAAATATCAACTTTGACATACAGGAAAAATAAAATCTTGAAACAAGTTCTAATAGAAAAACAAGTAAATAATAAAAGATCTCATAGTGTGACCTAAATGTCAAATCAGCATGTGACTTTATGTAATGGCATATGCAAAATGAAAGAATACACTTACACATACTAATAAACAATAAAATGTTATGTTATTATAAATATTAGTATAAATATTTTGACAAAAGTAAAAAGTATTATTTTGGTTATTTGCTGATTGTATATTTTTATCAAAGTATGTAAAAAGTACAGTGAACCTTAGTTTCCTTGAGTACCGAAGTCCTGTGCAAATTTGTTTGAGAGATTGGTCATTCAAGGCAACCAAAGATGAAGTATTATCATAAAAGATCAGATCGTACACAATTTTACGCTCAATATAACAAATAATCTACAAAATTTGAGCGATTGTAGTTCAAGCAATTTAAGTTTAACTGTAGTAAAAGAACCAAAAATAGAATCTTTATGACAAAAGAATTTAAAAAATAATTTTTTCTTTTTGATGAGTCACTAGACAAAGATATGTTAAGTTTTGATTTCAGTCACAGTTGGCAAACCTTCAAGATCGACAATGATATGAGCCGCATCACAACAAAACCAACATAATGGGTTTGCGACCAGCATGGATACAAACCAGCCTGTGCATCCACTTTCAATCTGATCAGAATCCATGATGTTTGCTTACCAACCCTATTACAAGTAGAGAAACTGATAGCAAACAGCATGGATCCTGATCAGACTGCGCAGGCTGGTCTGGATCCATGCTGGTCTCAAACGCACTTATGTTGGTTTTGTCATGGCGTGGCTTATATGTTGTGTAGGTAATTTATATGTGCCAGAGACACGTGCAGCATTTAGTTGGCTCGTAGCAGACTCCTGTACGACTGTATGGATCCATCACTAGGTTCCTCTTTACTTTGTTCACAACCCAGAATGGGAACATCAGTCCAAGGAACACTGAAATATTTAAATATCAACATGAACCTTTTACAAATTATTTCAAAGTCTGAACTCACATGATCAAGTATATATTATAATTTACTTAAATTCTAATTAAAAACAAAAGCACTGAGCACTGCATATGATGTTGATGCTTGTGTGTTATGGGACATGACTTTCAATAACCAATTTTGAAAAAAATACTTTGTAAGTTAAAAAGGGGCATAACTCTAAAATAGCTTTCAGAATTATGTCCCTTTGTCTAACAAAAGCACTTTGTCATAATAAGTAAGTATTCCAAGTATTGTGTTGGTAACTTTTAAAATGATTGAATAATGGGCTACATTTAAGTTTAAGCATGACAACAAAAATTATGACAACAATAATGATGCACCTATTATAATATGTAGACTTTTTCTTCGATACAGACAAGCTATTACCAGTAACAGATCTAGTTATCATGCTTGAAGTACAACATTTCTAGATAAATATCTTCAAATTTAAAAACATCAATGGTTAAGTAGAACCAAAGCCAATAAGCAAAGGTTACAAAATAAATGCATATAGCAAACTAATATTTATACACTGTCATATAACTGCATAATTTATTATCATGATGTGCACTGTTTGCTAGTCAGTCAGTACATATTACATGTATTTTGAAATTGTCCCTGAATAAATTAATTCATTTTGTCTTGATTAAAGATAGACAAGATATTTAGCATAGCAAGGACTTAAACTCCCTACAAACATACTTAGAAGATAGAATATTGTTACAGAAATTTAAGAGTTGACAATATAATAATACCTCCATTAATATAAACTTACCCAGAGATACAACTGAAAACATGGAGCTGGCTAGAGACAGGGTATATAACTCTGGTGTTGACACCGACTGTAAACAAATTAACAACATATCATAAATATTCATATCTTATACTAGTTGAATAATGAAATTTATTATTGAAATAAAATTATTTATATTTAAATGTTTAAAACCATAAAACATGTATGTAATAAATTATTGTTCCTTACCTGTTCTTAATTTATTTTTGTTTTGTTTTATTTTCAATCACGCCAACACTTTAAATGTCATACAGCACTTATTTCAGCCTTACTGGTGGAGAAAGACCTCAGTAGAACCACCAACCTTCTGTAAGCCAGCATATGCTAGCTTCTCCATATGAACCAATCAAAGGTCCCTTACGGGATTCAAACCCATAGCTGTGGTAATAGAGGGGCAAGTGATTTCAAGTGGGCGATCTTAACCAGTGAACCACTGGGCCAACACAAAATATACCCTATAACAGACTATGTCAATCTTTGACCTCTAAGTGTGACATTGGAGGAAGGGACCCATGTTTTGACCCATTATTGTGATTATTTGTGCAAAGTATTTTTAAAATCCCAGGTTATGGACTGGACACAAAATATACCCTATAACAGACTATGTTAATCTTTGACCTCTACGTCTGACCTTGACCTTGGAGGTTACGGGACACATTTGTTACGTATCACATATCATCTTATCATTGTGACTATTTGTGTCAAGTATTTTCAAAATCCCTTGATCTATGAAGAAGTTATAGACGGGAGACAAAATAAACCATATAACAGACTCTGTTAACCTTTGACCTCTAAGTGTGACCTTGGAGGTAGGGGTGCAGGTGTTGTACCTGACATATTGTCTTATTATTGTGACTATTTGTGCCTAGTTATTTCAAAGTCCTGAAGAAGTTCTAGATCAGACACAAAATATACCCTAAAACAGACTATGTTAACTTTTGACCTCTATGTGTGACCTTGAACTTGGAGGTAGGGATGCAGGTGTTGCACATGACACATTGTCTCATTATAGTGACTTATTTTCGTGGCGAGTATTTACAAAATCCTTTGATCTATGAAAAAGTTATGGACCAGACACAAAATATACCCTGTAATAGACTATGTTAATCTTTGACCTCCAAGTGTGACCTTGATCTTGGAGGTAGGTGACCGGTTGTTGCGCATGACACATTGTCTCATTATTGTGAACAATTGTGGCAAGTATTTACACAATCCCTTCAAATATAAGAAAGTTAAAGACCGGACACGACATAAACCCTTAAAAAGACAATGTTGACCTTGAATGAGCAAGTGCGACCTTGACCCTGAAGACACATCCTTTTATTATAACAAACATTTGTGCCAAGTTATTTCAGATTCCTTTGATAAATGACAAAGTTATGGACCGGACACAAAAGTGTGACGGACCGACGGACGTACTCACAAAATGGTACTTCTGTGACTTTTCCTTTGATCTTTTTGGCCATTTTTAGTCACACAAGGCTTCAAAAAAGACACACAAGTAAAAACGGAATGAATAGGATCAGAGAGAATTTACTGTTACCCATTATTCAAGTACCTATGGGTTCGTACGGACAGACGGACGGACAGAGCCTATTACTATATCCCCCTTTTTTCTTTGAAAAGGCGGGGGACAATAAAAGTAAAATATACAGCATTAGGAAAATTTAACAGTTATTATTAACACACATTCAAAGAGTAAAAATACTTGCTTTTGCAAAATACTGCAAAGAAGAAGGCAAAAATGGTAAAAATATTACTAGATAATAATTCATCAATACTGTATGTTTTATTATAAGAGGAATAGTGTAGTGTTCTTCACAATACAACAAAACAAACAACCAACATGATATAGAAATATAAAATACAGCGATACTTACACAGTCTTCCTTGGCCTCAAATGTGTACGCAGTCTGCATCAGTCCAACAATCAAGCTAGCCACACCAAACACATGGAATCCTATCTTCAACTCCCGTGGTACAGGGATTAAAATGCAGAATAGCAGAGAAAATGCTGCAGCGAAAGAGATAAAAGTTGTATAACAATTTACAGCACTGTTATGAAAATTTGTTTCACTTGTTTGTCTCTACACAGAATACATGTGAATTAAAAGTATAATAATAAATATATCTAATACTGGTTATAGGTTAAACATCCGCTTTTTCAAAAGAATTAAACCTTGTTATTTTCACCTGATAAAATTTTAATGAAGCAAATTGTAAAGATAGCTATTACACTCAAGGACCTACTTGTACCTGTAATTATGCATTAAGTTGTGTCTATACATGCAGATACATAACATATTGATAGCTACGTAATAGGGTGTGTGTGTGTTTCAAATTTTAAACAACAAATGACCGCACATTGTCATTAAAATCTATGTTTTCGGCCAATACTTTGTAATATGCAAAAACAACATTACTTCATTCACATCTAAAGGGGAGGGGACTATAGCCTTAAATCTGAGAATAAAATCACAAAACCCAGACAATATGCACCAGGGCACTATGTGAAAATAGCTCTGCAATAGAGGTTATCCCCTCGAAATATTGGAGGTTGATAAATTTCTTGAAATAGATAATTATTTATTAATTGTTTCCAGGGTGATTTCTGACATGTAAGATAATTTGTGTATATAAGAAATTGTTGCTATTCTGTTTGATAGCCATCCTGTTGTTGGACAACATATACCATATCACCAAGTCTTTTTTCTGGTTAAAGAATGTAATGAAAAATACATTACACATAAATGTAACTTTTCAAATTACCACATAAAAAGTAGTTACCTATTGTAAAGAATGAGAGCACAATGGAAGCAATAGCCATATCAAGCAGCGGTTGTACACAGACTCTAGAGGATCTCTCCAGGGTCACTACATACAGCTGTGGTACAGGTAACAATAGAGCAAATGTTATCAATAACATGCACCTGAAACAGTTATCATAAAAAAAACAACATTTCAGTTCAATTAATATTAAAATCAATTCTGTCTAGCAATTAACACTGAATGTTGCTATGCATTCCTAGGTCTTGACATATTTTTTTTAATAATAGGATTGGCGTAACTTCAATACAATTTATACTCATATACTGACAACATTTTTTATGAAAATCATACTGTACTGTAATCATATCAATCAATTTTTAATAATGACATAAAATGATTTCAATTCTAATTCTGAGATTACAGCTTCCATGGTAGACTAAATATTTTGACATGCCAATATGCAAAATATCTTGATACGCTCAGATACAATTAGTTTAACTACATCCCTATAGATGATCTATATAATATCAGTTTGTAAAATCAGTTGGTCTTCACTCTTGCAGTCGAAATGTTGAGACTACATCCCTGGAACTGGAAGAGGATTAGTAAATAACGATGCGTTGTGTTGTAAATTGTTTTGATACATAATGGACAAATATTTTATTAGGTTTGAAAAGAATCTGAAAAGCGGAAATCAAGAATACAGAAAGACAAAGAATATGACCGTAAACGCATTCATTTGTTTAAAGATAGCTGGTTAACCAATTTTACTTTGCTCCAAAAAGTCTATAATTCGGACAAGCTTTATAATGAAATGTTTGCGGAATGTTACCGCGAGCTCGGCTCTTTATGTAGGTACATCATTAATAAGACAGGACAATCTTACATAACATCAAATGTCATTCAAATGTGTTATGTGTGTTCAAATACGAGTTTTAGCAAAGCCCCAGTAAATAAGGACCGATTGGTTAAATAAGGCCAATGTTGTAATAAAAAAATTACTGTTTATTTCATATTTGGGCAGGTGAACTACAGCTGTGGACAAGTAGAAATATCAGTCCAACTTGCCCGTGGGCAAGTGGGAAAAAATCCAAAATTCCACATCCCTGTTTATCTAACGTGTCTATGTGAATCTTGTGAACCTGTGACTTGGTCATATGCATTACAATCATCACTTTTAATACAATATGTACTGTGCATGTCATCAAACTATGCCTTAATTTACCATCTTATTGTAAATCGACCGGAAGACATCCTCTCCAGCACCAGTCACATCAGGCGTCCCGCAAGGCACAGTCCTAGGGCCTCTCTTGTTTCTAGTCTACAGTAATGACTTGCCGGGCAGGGTCTCCTCCACAGCACGCCTCTTCACAGATGACTGCCTACTATATAGGACCATCAGCTCTGATGAAGACAGCATTGCACTACAACAGGATCTTGACCGCCTACAAGAGTGGGAGCAAGACTGGTTGATGATGTTTAATCCCGACAAGTGTGAGATGATTCGCATTACCAACAAGCGGAAAGTGATAACTTGGTCCTATGCCATCCATGGCCAAACACTCAAGCAGACGAACAAGGCAAAGTATCTGGGTGTCACACTTGACAATACGCTTTCCTGGAACAGCCATATTGACGCTACTGCAAAGAAGGCGAACACCACCACTGCCTTTCTACGCAGAAACTTATCACACTGTCCACAGAACATCAAGGCGACATGTTACAAAACACTGGTTTGACCTCAGCTCGAGTATGCTTCGTCAGTATGGGACCCACACACCAAGGCCAACATCAGTAAGCTCGAGAACTGCCAACGAAGAGCAGCCAGGTTCTGCACAGGTGATTATCGTTACACCAGCAGCGTTACTGCAATGAGGGAAGCTCTAAGCTGGGACACTCTAGAAGCCCGTCGTCAGCAAACCAAAGCAGTGATGATGTACAGAGTCATTAACAGCCAGTGGTGGGTATCCGAGCCCATCACATACTGATCCCTGCTGGAGTACACACCCGAGGCCATGCCAACAGGTACCTACAAACCTTCACCAGTGTCAACTCATACAAGTATTCGTTCTTTCCTTCTGGGATCCGACTTTGGAACAGCCTACCAGAAGTCGTGATGACAGCCCGTCCCTAGAGGTCTTCAAGACGAGGATGGGTGCGCTGCATGAGTAACTCTGGAGCATGGTGTTTTTAACCTGTTTTTAGCTGCACTTGATGTTCCCTTCACTCATGTAAATAGTCACAATTGTGCGACGATGCTCCAGAGGGGCCCAGCACATTACCCGGAAGAAGAAGAAGAAAGTTCTTCTTAACCTTGATACTTTTATTTCATGCTTAAAGCTGCCACTAGTTTTATATGTTTTTACAGAGCAACAGATAAGATGCGTATTTGCGTATTTACGCAATTAATTTTAGAAAATACGCAATTGATTTTTTAAGAATGCGTATCAAAACCCATTTAAAAAAATAAAATACGCAATTGTCTTAAAAACCCGTGCGTATTGTCATTTTCATCACCGCAAAATTAATCTGTCGTACGCTCGTTGTTTTGGACAAATTATATCGATATGCATGCTATCCGAATATTCCCGAATCAATGCTAACTAATCAACGGTCTCCGGTCTTCGACGGTCCCCGGTCTCCAATGACCGACTAAGCCATATCAATAAAGCATGAGACCGTCGCTTTGTCTACTCAGGTCGACTGTCTTTACAGACCTGCAGAGACCGTTGATTTTACGGAGACCGTCAATAAGTAGGTCCCAGCTGTATCAATAGACGCTTTGAAAGCAATTTCGCGTCGTGCAAAAGGGAAAATGATTCGTAAATAATCAAAAATCAGTCAGAAAACGAATTTGTTAAAAATATTATGAAATATAACATGAGCATTTTATATAAAAAATAAAACAATTGTGAAAAGTTCTAGTAAACTGTTAATCCTATTTTCTTTTTTTTGATATTGAAACCATAAAATTCATATCTTCATAATTGAATACCCAATTGATCTTGAAATCATAGGGTATCGAGTTTTGGAATACCCAATTAAATGGAGCCAATACCCAATTCCAAAGGAAATGATGGAGTAATACCCAATTCACTTTTAAAGCTTATCTGTTGCTCTGGTTTTTACTTTCAGATCTGTTATATGTGAGTAAATATGTTTTATGCCTTTGTTATTGTCGGTAAATAGCTTATTAGCTAATGTTTCTTGTAATATGTAAACCGACTTAAAATAAAGTTTCTTGTATCTTGTATCAGGCAGGTGGCATGTCGAATTCTATTCAACATTTTAAAAATAATTGTCTTACATTTTCCAACGATTTCCCTGTGGGAACCAACGGACACCATGATAGGTAACATGTGCGTAGAAATACTGCCACATAATTGCCGACTGTGGAAACACAACAAGAATTTCTGATTATTTAAAATTATTGACAACAGTATTTGTTTGCAAATGGCTAACCGGAAGTTAATAACTAAGGGAAATAACTCGCCGCGGATTGTTTAAACTATCCGGCTACTTCAAACACACAATCGCAACTACTCGGCCCTTTCCGTCAGTCTTCGGTAAATATTGTAGATAATGGCCGAGGCAGTTCCGAATGTTCAAACACACCCGTGCAAGGACATTCATTTTTGACTGATTTTATTTGATTTCATTCGTGACTTTCATGGAATAAGCGAGTGAAATATTTACTTACTGATTTTAAACGTCAAAAGATTTCTAAAAAAAAAAAATAGAAATAGAAAAAAATGAATAAAAAATAATTTAATTTAATTCGAACAGCTAGATCTAAGAATAATATAACCAGTGAAGAATCTTTATAATGCAGCAAACTTATTTTATTAGAAAATAAAAACTTAAATAATTGGCAGCAACCGTGTATATTATTAGTTATAAAAAAAGATTTTTGACAGGTTATATGGCCCTATATAAATGGTTGTTTGGAAATACAACCCGAGCCGCTAGGCGAGGGTTATATTGCAAACAACCATTTATATACGGAATATTTATACGGAATATTTATAACGAATTTATAATACAGCAAAGCATCATTTTAGTGCGAGAAGTGAGATTTCTTCATAAATCGACAGCAGCCATGTATATTAATTTAGTTATAAAGATTTTTGACAGGTTACATATGGCCCTATATAAACGGTTGTTTGTAAATATAACCCGAGCCGCTAGTCGAGAGTTATATTACAAACAACCATTTATATATGGCCATATAACCTCTCAGAAATATTTATAACGAATTTATAATACAGCAAGTATCATTTTTAGAGGAATAAAGCGAGATTTCTTTATAAATCTACAGCAGCCGTGTATATACATGTAAAACTATATAAACGTCACGATTATCCAATGAAAAGCGACGTTACAAATGTGCAGTATTATAAAAAAAACTATATTAATGTCACGGTTATCCAGTGAAAAGTGAACTTACACACTTGAATTATTATATAAACATACATATATGTAACCATAGATCTACCATATAATAGGAGTCATAACGATATGATCATGAGTCATAATTCCATTGTCATTGCCTGTTTCGCCATTTGTTATTAATTACATATACATGTATTGATACAAGTAATAATTAAATTTCATGTCGTGGACCTATGCTTACTTGAGCAAAGACTTACATTATTAAACATTGAAGTCGCAGTCCGCATGGTGGTGACGGTTTTTGAAGCTTACATTCCAGATAACGGCAGTTCAGTTTGAATTCATCAGCACACATGCAGCGTTATTCTTGGGTAGGCTGTGAATGATGGTTGCCTATACTACTGCCTTAACTTTCGCAAACAGCTGATATTATTTCTGAATATGCCAGAGATGAGATATGTACAGTGCGAATGACCGTACAAAGGATCTCATGATTAATCACAACGTAAGTGACTTGCACCGTCCGGGAATCGAACCCGAGTAGTCCAATTCACAGACCAACGCTTACAATTTAACAATCTGACCCATCTTCGCAGTTTATATAGAATATCAGAGGCAGTTAGGGAGCTACTTACAAGCAGTCTAAATGGCGGGGTTTGATAGAAAAGGGCTGACAGTTCCGGCAATTCTTGAGCAAAATCGAAGATCATACACTTGTAAATGTTATTGAACTGCTCTGAAAATGTTATAATGAATTCCACAATGATTTTTTTGTGCCTGACAATGAACAAATATTTAAATCTACGGACAATTAGTTGTACCTGAAAGCGAAGATGTCTGACGATTGTATGTTCAAATGTTTTTTCATATTGTAAATCAGACAATAAAGTTTAAAATTGAATTTATTTCATTTTAATGCAATAGAAATTGTGCAATATTACAAAAACATATTACTCAGAAGATGTATGGTAATCCATATTCCCACGTTACATATACTTTTGATAGGGTTTGATGAATATGTTGTGAACAAATACAACCCGAATTTTTGGACCAGTAAATGTCTAAATTATGCGTTAAAATACCTAGATGCATAAGCTCGTATGCTAACAAATAATCTAAGAAAGTTTCATGGCTATAGCAGTTATACTTTAAAGTTACAGAAATGTGCGCACGGCACAAACTGGCCTTTGGACAGACAACATGATGTATGTACAGTGAAAAAAAAATGTATATATGTTTATATTCCTTACCTCTCTAATGGAGTAGGGGTGGGTGGGAGTGCCGGGGGGGGGGGGGTAAATACCCATTACGTTTTTTTAGAAAGAACTGCAAATTACTGTACAGTTTACCCTTTGTAAAATACATTTTACATGTATAACAAGAACAAACAGAAAGTTAAAATCAATATTTATTGTTTTCAAACAATTTTGTACAAAAACGTTTTTTTCCACTGATGTCACATTTACAGTTATAACAAATATTTACAAAATGTCAACACTTTCATTTAAAAATATAATGATGATAAATCAGGTAGCACATAAGTGTCACACACTTGATAAAAATATATTAAATGAAAATGTTAAAGCTGCACGCCTCCAAATGAGCACAGAAATTTCGATAAAATCAAACTTGAAAATGTACTAAAATTTTAGGAAAAGTATAAAGATTCATAATTCTAGTAATAATTTACATTTTATGTGCGATTAATGACCAATTTTTCAGTATTTATAACTATATTTCTACTGTGTTACTAACGCAGTAAGGGCCATTTTTGCATATTTTTACCTCTATTTGGTAATTTACATTGGTTGTAAGTGCCATTGATAATGTGTAAATTGCATTCTTTGATAGCTTCAGAATAATATAATGTTAAATACATTTTCAAATTTTCATGAAAATTAGTATGAATCTGGAGGCGTGTGTACATTTATAAACAGATTATGTCAATGCAGGTATCAAATGAAATAATGACTTGAGATATTAAATTACTTGCCCAAATAAGAAAATGACATTAAAAGATGTTTTAAGGAGGAAATACAGTACTAAAAGTTCTATGACAAAAACACCACCTCTACTTTGTATAATACTTTACTTCACTATCTGGTATCACCTGAATAGCCCTGTCTTACCTATACAAATAAAATCTACTAAAACATCTGTCATCACGACAATTTAAAGCTAATCCACTGAGGTTTTTGTAATGTAACTGAATTGGAAATTATTTTAGACATTTATATGCTATTTAATGTAGATCTTGCCAAATAACTGGTAGGCAAAATGTTAAATAAATCTCTCACTGAATTTTTCAAGAATAATTATTTTTATGTAAAAATGTAAAAGCGCCTAAACACACTTTTAACTGTAATTGGGCTTTCCTTCGAAGAAGGTTTGATTTTCAATTAAACTCAAGAGTGTGTGTCTTTATTAAATGTTTTCATGTTTTTCGTTCCCAGTACCTAAGTGGATATCAGTATGAATTTCGATTCTATTAGTTTTTTTTGGTCATTGAACCTCACTGGAGACTAAATCCTTACATCTCAGTCATCCAAGGTATATGTGTATATCAAAGCACATTTAAAATTCTTCTCACGATTTTTTTTTACACATCTGTTAATATCATATAAATTCACACTTTACACACTTTCATCTATACAAGCTGCCCTGTAGCCATATACATTTTTGGTTAGGAACTGTCCATTGTTATGATATCGCAGTCATCATGGCATGCTGTGTCAGGTTTTGAGCAGTTCATAGTTTTTCGGCACCAACTGGCCTTCAGTTATCTATAACACAAAGTATATTCACACCAGACATGCCCAGGTTAACTCTCCTGAAATATACAAAACATAAAAATCATCCTTTAACTTTATCTGGTCAAAAGAACAAAAGTTGTTAGCAATCTTAACTCTTTTCCAGTACTTGATAGTAGTATAAAATAACAAGTAAACAGTACCTGATAGAAGTATAAAATAAAAAGTAAACAGTACTTGATAGTACATTGTAGTATAAAATAAAAAGTAAATTTCTTTTAAGTTAAAAAAGGACCACAATTCTGTCCAAATCCAGGTTAGAGTTATTGGCCTTGGACAGAGAACACCTTTTACACTCTCAAGTGTGTGAAGTTTCAAACCATTAAATTCATTAGATTTTGAGATACCAACTTGCACCTACAGACTTCCCCAAAGCATGACACTGACGCCTAAGGACAAAAGCTCTCTCTATTCTTCAAATAGTCGGGCTAAAAATAAGGTCACCCAAGAGTTTGTGAGTCATAAATTCAATATACCTGTATCTAATTTACCAATAGTAGTTACTTATTTTTTAAGCAATAAAATATAACATGAATTTACCCCAACATTCCATTTTCTATGTGTTTTACGTGATGCAGGAAAAACAAAATGGCGTGAAACAGATTATTCCTACCCTGAAAAATAAAAAAAAAATGTTTATCATATTATAGCACATACATGTGTTTCACAATTTATTTTCTGCAAATTACACAATACCATATATTGGGAAAAGTTTCATATCTGAAAATAAGTACTCCTTTCCCCAATCCATATAAAATGTATATTTTAAAGGAAGTAAGTCACAAAAGATTCATTTTTTTTATTTATTTAGAAACATTTGCAGAGAAATTGGTAACAACAGATTAATTATACAGGAAAGTCTGTAAAGTGGGCCAAACTTCAAAATATGACCAGAAACAATGTGTTAAAATCAGTGTTCTAGATAATTATTTTTACTCAAGAGTCAATACTCTCTGTTTTTTATACTTCAGAGTAAACTGCCAGTTTCTAGCCAAATGAAGGAGTAAAATTGACTCTCAGTTTTAAGAACTTGGGAGTCAATTTGCCGCAAATAATGATACATTATATTTATATACAGTACAGCCTGACAAAAAATAAAAAAACTGCTCTCAGTTTTATAATTTATCAGAAATATTGCAGCAAGGCAAGGTATTATTTATATTTAGGTTTAAGGCATATTATAAGAACTTGAACCATTTTTATGTGAAATTAACTAAATGTATACATGCAAACAGTTGTGACCCACACTGAATTCTTTTAGCTTGTGGGCTAATTATCAACCATTTATGTACCAAATTACATGTTGAGATGACTGTTAATTTTAAATTTAAAGGACAGTAAATTATCTTACATATAAATGAAATAAAATAAGGTGTGATGCATAACTTAGTTTCATTGTATTTTTTTCTTTAAAAAATAGGAGCTAGGTACACAATAAAAGGTTGCAATTAATTAATTTTTTACTGTTCAATGTTAGACTTTTGGATGTTGAGAACCCGTTCTGTGGCCATTTAGTTGTTACAACACAAGGCACATTTCAAATGCACTACATCTGTCGTATCTGACGTTACAGACAGCCACGGGAAACCTTTACTCGTAGCATCTAAATTCTAATGCTGTCGTATGAGTTTTTTTCGCTCTTGCAAACAATAGTCAAATTTTTTTCAAAAATTGACTGAATTACACACTGAGAAGACACTGGGCTTGTTCACGGTAGAATGTGTCGATATTTTGTGTTTGGGTTTCGAACAAGATATCATCAATGTATACAACTTGATAATTTGATAAAATTGACAATATTTTATCGTCTACTTCAATAACGTGACAGACGCTTGATTTATCTTATGTACATCTATTACCGAGCGTCTCAGTGATACAAAGTCGACTGGTTTGCAATTATAAACCCAGGCTGAGAAAATGACACACCTTTATAGAACAGTAAGCTAACCAGTCAGTCATTTTTATCGGTGTCAATGTTGTTATGTATGCAACATATTACATGTATATAATTTATATCTGACCAGTTGGTATTTCCAATATTATCATTGTTCTATTTTTAGAACATAAACTACATGTATGTACTAGAAGGTTCTTAACTGTTGTAGAAAACTCATGCATTATATTTAGATAGAAACTTCTGGAATGATCTTTATTGTTGAAGTTGCTAGATTATGATTACTTGAGAACATAATAGACGTTTCTGGAAACTTCTTAGTTAATATATAAGGAGACATTTTTCATTAATCCTTTTTAAGTCATCAGTTACCTTTTAAGTCATCAGTGATCTTTTAGAAATCAATATATTTGGAGTATTATTCAACTTGGATATAAAGTGATTTATTGGAGCTTGGATTTTAAAATAAATTATTCTTGTGGATTTTATTGTGGGAATTTATTCTAAAGTGTTCTTGGATTTAACTTGGATTTAAATGTGTTATTCAAAAAGGATCATTCCAGGATCAGACTAGACATTTAAGATTTTCACTTTTATTTGGACTTCAGGTATTTGTAAAGTAATTTGTTATTTTATTTTTCTTTAATATTTTTCTGTAATAAATTTGTTATATTGTTACAAGTTTGTTGCTGGCTTTTCTTTCTAGTTACGCCTGGCTCGTAACAATGTAAACATTGCCTACGCCAAATTTGTTTCACTAAATGCGTAAACTGTAATTATTATGCGTAAATATACGCCAAAATGATGACGAAGCTGGCGTATCCCGAGTATTTGCTTGCGTAAATGATGCCGATACGCACGCTATCTCTAATGCTGTAAAATTGGCTTGAAAACCAGATAAACAATCGAACAACAGTAGCTGCGGAAAATTTGAAATTGGCATATTTGTACATTATCTTTGAGCAACTACCAAGATCTCGAATCATAAATTTTAAACCAATTGATAATGAAAAATGTGATCTTAAATGCATTTTATCTTCTGCCAACAAAGTTGAAATTAACAATGAGCATACAATGCAATGAAAACCTAATCATCTTAAGTTTTATAGACCTATAGCTCTTAAATGTGAGCTCATTGGGTAAATACAGCCTCTAAAATAAATAGGACAAAACATGTGTACTGTCAAGATTTTAAAGTGTACAAAACGAGCACTGAACTTTTGTTGTTGTTTTCAGCTTTAATGATGGAGAAAGACCCCAAGGAGCCCCTCTGTGCATTATTCAGGCACCAATGAGCACGTAAGTAGAACCACCAACATTTCAGTGAGCTGACTAGATAGTTTCCTCACTTGATAGAATCTTAAGTCCTGATAGGATTCAAAATCACAGGGGTAAGTGAATGAAGTTTCATAACAAGACAGAAACAAAATAATAAATATATAAACAACTAACCTTTGGAAGATTATATATAGTATCTTTTATGACAACTTGGAAGTGTGGTGGGTTAATACTGCTCTGATACAGTAATAGGTTGTTTTTCTTCAGATCTAAAATATATACAAGACAGCACTGTAAAAATAACATGATGTGTCAAAGTAATATTACAGTCCAGATTTTGAACATAAAACATTTCATTTTGGATCTTATGAGACCTGGTGCTGACAATAATACAGGATGTACTGACTATTTTTTCTTCTGTAAGTCATTTGCTAATAATGACGGCTTAAAATTTTGTCATTAAATTGATAATGATAAATGAGTCCAAGTCTAAATGTTTCAAAACTTTTAAAAAAGTCAAGTTCTACTTAACAAAGTAGCAGTACTTTGATTTCGACTTGTCAGATGAGCGTACTGAATGAAATCATTTTATCCTAATCATTAAGTAAGAAACACCTCTATCCTTATCAGATATAAGTAATGATAACCGTTCCATGCTTAATATCTTAAATGGATTTGTCAACTTTCAAGCTGGACAAAACCTTTCAACATTATTTAGGAAAATATCAAAATAAGTTTTTACTAAATAGCTAACAGTGCAGACAGCATTGATGACAGATGTGCCAGCTGATCTTGGTCTGTACTGGTCACATTGGAAGAACCTGTTCCGGCTGAATGTTAAAATAAGAGTTTGAATAAGAAGTTAAACAAAGTGATAATGATATAATTTACCTATTTTATCCGGTGTTTTCATGAAATGTTGACTGGTGAATGTTTTACCATCTGGGTATTTCAGGTCAGGTGGCAGCCTTGCATCTAGGTAGCAACATAACATATGCATCACCAACTGCGGATAAAAATAGAAACATAAAATGTTGATATTAAAGGGACTCCACTCATGTTTTTTTGACACAAAATGACTGGAAATAAATTGTTCAAGATTAACGATTCATTTGATGTAGCTCAAGACCAAAAACTTGTATGTAATATTTCAGATCATTCGCAATTTATTCTAATGGTACAAAGGATCCACAACTGAAAAGTGTTGCAATGCTTTATATTAAAATTGTACTAAAAATAGCACAAACATACTGTTTTCAAACCTCTGAGATCTTTTGCATATTGTTCTGTATAAAGAGTCCAAGCTGATCTATGAAAAAAAGTCAAATTTGATGTTTTAGACTTTTTGACCTCAGTTGAGTTCCTTTAAGATATGATTGAATTTAATGTGATTGAATATAATATGATTGAATATAATAAGACATACCCCAGCATCAGTAGGAAGATGTTCTCCCCATGTGTTACCATAGTTACCATCTGATCCACCACTACACCAATAATACTCACTGAAACATCCATCACTACCTAATTCTGTAAATAATATAGTTAATATTAGTTATGATTGACACACCAATACCCACTGAAACACCCATCACTACCTAATTCTGTAAATAATACAGTTAACATCAGTTATGATTGACACACCAATACTCACTGAAACACCCATCACTACCTAATTCTGTAAAAAATACAGTTAACATCAGTTATGATTGACACACCAATACCCACCGAAACACCCATCACTACCTAATTCTGTAAATATTACAGTTAACATCAGTTATGATTGACACACCAATACTCACTGAAACACCCATCACTACCTAATTCTGTAAATAATATAGTTAACATCAGTTATGATTGACACAACAATACCCACTGAAACATCCATCACTACCTAATTCTGTAAATAATACAGTTAACATCAGTTATGATTGACACACCAATACCCACTGAAACACCCATCACTACCTAATTCTGTAAATAATACAATTAACATCAGTTATGATTGACACACCAATACTCACTGAAACACCCATCACTACCTAATTCTGTAAATAATACAGTTAACATCAGTTATGATTGACACACCAATACTCACTGAAACACCCATCACTACCTAATTCTGTAAATAATACAGTTAACATCAGTTATGATTGACACACCAATACCCACTGAAACACCCATCACTACCTAATTCTGTAAATATTATACAGTTAACATCAGTTATGATTGACACAATAATTCTCACTGAAACACCCATCACTACCTAATTCTGTAAATAATACAGTTAACATCAGTTATTGATTGACACAACAATACCCACTGAAACACCCATCAAAATACCTAATTCTGTAAAATTATACAGTTAACATCAGTTATGATTGACACAATAATTCTCACTGAAACACCCATCACTACCTAATTCTGTAAATAATACAGTTAACATCAGTTATGATTGACACAACAATACCCACTGAAACATCCATCACTACCTAATTCTGTAAATAATATAGTTAACATCAATTATAATTTACACTAAAACACTCGCTGAAACACCCATCACTACCTAATTCTGTAAATAATATAGTTAACATCAGTTATGATTGACACAACAATACCCACTGAAACATCCATCATTACCTAATTCTGTAAATAATACAGTTAACATTAGTTATGATTGACACAACAATACTCACTGAAATACCCATCACTACCTAATTCTGTAAATAATACAGTTAACATCAGTTATGATTGACACAACAATACACACTGAAACATCTATCACTACCTAATTCTGTAAATAATATAGTTAACATTAGTTATGATTGACACAAAAATACCCACTGAAACATCCATCACTACCTAATTCTGTAAATAAATTAGTTTATATTTATTAGGATTGACAATAAAATATTGACTGAAACATCAATAACTACCTAATTTTGTAAACTAAACAGTTAGAATTAACTATGATTGACACTAAATACTTGCTGAATGATTTTAACTCTGTAACAGCAAAGTTAAAATCAGTATAAAAAATGCATCTTTTAAGTTACCTATAACACATACTTCTGTCTCAAAAATTCAATTATCCTTAAAAAAGTTTACTTATTTCAGAAAACAGTAATTATGTTATCAATATTATAATAGTCATACATAAGTCAAATAACAATGTAAAATCTTTGATGTATTTTGGACCCCACCCCGGCCAGCAACAAAACTGCTGTATATTGTACCTTTGATACGTTTCACGAGATATTCCTGATTGTCTGAACACTCCAGGTACGGCACTAATGCGTTTAATGTAGGAATATGTATACTCTTTGTCAAAGCCAGCTGTTTTAGTACCGACACTCCAACCTCTGTAAAAACAAAACAAACAAGAATCTTGGTATCACCTATGAAATCCTCAGGCATCTCTTAGATATGGCTAAACACAGCCTTTTCTCATGATATCTATCACAGAAACAACCCAGTAACCTGCAAAATAATCCTAGATACCTGAAAATTTAATTCCAACCTTGACTTGATCCAAGCAGAATTTGTCTAGCAAAACTAATATGTGCCTAGAAATTACTGATTGACTTTGTATATACACTCACATATATAAATTTGGCTGCCATTATCATGGTGGTAAGAAAACAAAAACTAGCTTGAAATTAGGAGCTTAACATTCATATTGCTAGAGATAAAGAAAAACAAATTTCTTACCTCCAATTTCAGTGTCTTCTGAGCCTATCTTTCTCAGTTTGGAGTTAACATTGCTAATTTCTTGTGCTAATTTCACCAATATTGTGTTGCCAATCCACTGAAAAATAATGTATTATATAATTTATTAGTATAACTGTTAAATCATGATTCTTCTGATGGAACTCTGAACCTGTCACCTCTAAGTTGGTAATGCTTATCAAGGTATATGCACCTGTTATGTTTGGGGGATGTAGGTGGAAGGACTTCTGTGTCATGGTGATAGTTAAATGTTTGTGACAAACAAGTCAAACAAACCAAAAACAATATGCCCTTCAAATCTATTGGTTGTTTGTTTGATTGATTGGGTTTTAAGTCACACCGACACAGTATAGGTCATATGGCAATGTTCCTGCTTGACTGGTGGAGGAAGAGCTCAGGTGCCCTTTTGTGCATTATTCCGTGCATTCCTGAGTTGAACCACCGACATTCCATAAGCTAGCTGGATAGCTTCCTCACATGAAAGAATCCATGTCGAGATTCGAACCCACAGCGGTGAGGGGCAAGTGGTTTGAAGTCAACGACCTTTACCACTCGGCTACAGACGCCCCTCAAACCTATTGGTTGCTTTATATGTTAAACAGGTAAGTTATTATTGTCACTGGCTTTTAAAGAGTAAAAGAACACATGTAAACAAGAGCTGTCAGTAGGACAGTGTGCTTGACTATTCTTAGTGCTTGATAGTAAAACAAGAGCCTGGATAATGTAGAATGTAGAATTATCTAAGTCTAAAAAGGGCCATAATTCTAATTCTGTCAAAATCAATGTAAGAATTATGGACATTGGAGAGTGACCTACTATTACGTTTTTGAGATATTTATTTGCGTGAAAAACATAACCAATGTGTGATGCTGACACAGACACCTGGGTTGTACAATAACTCTCCCTATTCTGCAAATAGTGAAGCTAAAATTGAAAATAAGTTATCAGTTTTGACAAACATTACCTTTCTTAGCCTTTCAATCCAACAAAACAAGTCATCGTCTGTCACACCAAGAGGTCCCCACACCTGAAATATAACAGTTCTGTAAATTAAGTCACAAGTCTTCCTTAAACTTTAATAAAAGTTCTCAATATAATTCTATCCTATTGAAATAATCTGTTCTGTAACAGACAACACAGACTTTGAATTAGTTACCAGTTGATTTACTATTAAATGGAGAATCTAACAAGCTCAGTAAAAGGAGAATTATGTTGGTTAACAAGCCTCAAACTAACACACAATGCATATTGGTATTTTTGGTTTTTGTCATAATTCAAAAGCTCTTCAAAGGAGTATTTGAAATTCAATTATTTAGCCTTCTTTAATGTTTTTTGTTTTGGGTTTTTCGTCACATCACACAGATAGCATTCGGACTTTCCCAGCGTTTCTGGTGGGAAGACCTTTCAGGTTTTCCCTTCCGTGCATATTTCAGGCCACGAACGGCCCAGAGAACCCCCGACATTCCCTAAACTAGCTGGATAGCTTCCTCACATGAAAGAATCCATGTCGAGATTCGAACCCACAGCGGTGAGGGGCAAGTGGTTTGAAGTCAACGACCTTAACCACTCGGCCACGGACGCCCCACCTTCTTAATAAAGCGCTGGGTCCCCTCTTTTGTTATCATGAACACTTATTGGAAATCAGTATGTATTTAGCAGGCATCTGTGGGCAAATGTTTGAAGTATCTGTCTTCAAACCACTTTCCCCTCACCTATGGGTGCAAATTCATCCTCACAGACTTTCGATTTCGTTTATTTGTGAAATATATCCAGCTAGCTTACAGATGGTTGTCGGCTCAACTTAGGTGCCTGCTTGTACTTGAAATAAAGCATGGAGGGGCATCTGAGGTCTTCTTCCACCAGTAAAGCTGGGAAGTTGCCATATGACCTTTACAGTATTGGTGCAATTTAAATTCCGACGAAAAGCGAATGAACTCACCTCTTCACCCATATTGTCATTATCATCAGCTCTAGATTTATGTGACTGTGGTGATCTGCTAGCTAGCTGGTACTGATTCTTTCTTAATATATGACTGTAGTCTATACTTGGTCGACCATAACTCCAAAACGAGGAGCTGTTCAATGACATATCCTGAGAACCTATAAAATTTAAAGATAACAAAACAAATATAATCAGAAAATCTATGTTAAAAGTATTACAAAGTGAACATATATAGAGAACCCATTGCATTTTCTTTACTTAAAGGGAAATGGTGAAAGGGCCCATGGAGAGGGGCTATTGTGCTGCTAAAGGGAAAATAAACAGAACAACATAGTTCATTTTTTCTTAAATATATGTATATAGACATGTAAACTGTGGAACAATATACCATAATGTTTTCAAACAACAATATTCCTCTTTTTCCATTCTTGCAATAAAGGGAATCTCAAAAAAAAATTTTTTTTCTTTTTTGATGTTTTGAATTTTTTTAAGGAATAAGTGAAAAATATATATACTTTTTGATGAGAGGAATAAGACCGACTTGGCAATAAAAAAAGCACTGGTATCTATATACTAATGTTTTAAAATTGAATAAAATAGAGGATCTTGCATAAAATCTGTATATTATAATGATGAAATCAGTTATGTTTATTTTAATGAATAATCTCACAAAAAACATACTTCTTTGCATAGTTGGCATCAACTTTAATCATAGTGCTTGACATACCATTTGTCAATTAAAAGCCATGCCAGAACAGTTGACAAATTTTCACATACTTAAGATATTATATGTTTTTACCTGTATTTATAATCTGGTTAAGTTAATTACGAAATGTTCAGTACTGATGTTAAGTTTAGTTTATAAAATGTTTTTTGGTGGTTTATAGAAATATATCAGTGAAATATAAAACTGATATTTCACTGTTTGGAACAGTGAAAATATCAACTTGATATTTTCCACTGTTTTTAATTTAAGCCTGTTATGTTATTTCAGTGATATACCAGTGTGCACAGTACTGGAAATGAACTTAATGACATGATGTCGTAGTTGATGTCACTTTGCATTATTATTTGGTGAGCTTTTCATTTCGTATTAGGTTAAAATGTCCTTTTAAACGTTTCTTCGCATATAATAAAAAGAAAATTTGTTTACTTTAGTGTAATATCGAAATATTTTGCACCTTGTGAACACCAAAAGTTCATATTTCACTCATGACTGTGTCACTCGTGAAATATACCTTTTGGTGCTCACTCATGAAATATATTTTGATCTTACACTTAACTAAACAAATATGCTCTATAAAACTCACTGAGATGTGCCCTGTATTCTTTCTCATCCTGTTCCTTAAGGTACATAGATAATGACTGTAGATCTGTCATCTTGTCTGATGGAGCTAGAAAACATAGCAATATAAAAAATATTAAATACCAAATATATATTATTTATTACTGATCAACTTATCATATAATTGATTAAAATCTTGTATCTTTACTCATTATGCAGAAACATTCAGCAAAATTCCAGGATTTTTTACCAAAGATGGTCGCATCATTTTGATTTGCTAAAATAATGTAAGCTGATACCTAAATCTTAGATTCAATGTAAACAACCCACCAGAAGTTGCCTAGTTAATGGAATAACCCACTCCTTTGGAGCCTGCATGAACACCAATGTATAACACCAGGATATATTTATTATTCATTTCATCACAAACTTAACCTATTCAAATTAAGTATTAATTGTTTAACATACAAGGAGATCTGAAGGATGATGACATTGAGAGCCGAGATCGTAGACCGCTACCGTCTAAACTAGACATAGACATTCCTGGTGAGTACGGTAAACTATGTGACATCGAGGCACCAGATGAATAACCTGACATGTTGCCATGTGTGAAACTAGCACTCTGAAAATAACAAAGTTTAAATACACCCATAAACACTTTCCATATGAACTACATGTATGTAAATAACCAAAGTAAATCAAGAAAAAAAATACGAGTTGTTTCCCTTATCTTCAATAAAATTTTATCTCTTATGGTAAAACAATACAAATTAAGCCGTTTAAAAAACTGCTAGTTTGTTGTGATTTAATGTCCAATTTTAAAATTTATTACACCAATGGAAAGCTTTGGATCTTAGCTTTGTAACAGTATATACTTCAACACATCTTTTGACACAATAGTATTTAAATTAACTGTTAAACCTACCATATGACAGACCATTTTACATACGATTTATACAGTGAGATACGCAACTGTTTAACTTTAAATTAATAGAAAAACTAATGATAACAATAGCCCGTCGTCTGCTAGTTTGGAAAGCGTTTATAGGTGTATTGGTAAATGAGATAATTCTACCATCCTCAAACAAGCTCAAACCAACTAATCAACATTTTCAAATTTGCTGTGTTGGCTATTCTTTAAGGTTTCTGGACTTTATAACATAGAAGTAACAGGTTAAACATAACATTGAGACTTTCCAAACTTTTTAATTATGCAATAAAAAAAATCAGGTGAGAAATATGCAGTTGTAGTTTTAGGGTTGGTAGCAAACCGAGAATTAATTGTAAAAGGCTGAAGTTGGCATAATAACATGGACATCTGAGTTACAGAGATATATTACTTTAATCCATAGAGATTAACTTGCCACAAGTGCATAAAATGTAACTACAGGTTATCTAGATTACTTACCCTGTCAAAGGATGTATGATGACTGCCAGACATTGATAAAAATGATGCTCCAGGGCTTGCGTAACTATGTGCCCCAGTGAATGATCCTATATTTGTAGGTGTCACATGACCTAGACTGCTCCATGGACTGGATGATGGGGAGTAGGCAGTCTGGCTTGATGGAGAGCTGGAGAACACTAGACTGTGCTCACTTGATGGTGAAGAATGTGGCTTCACTGGAGACAGCATAAATCCTGGATCTGTAATATATATAATTATACACTGAAATATACAAATGAAATTTTATATTATAAACATTGTAAAATGAGCTATTTGAGAAGGAACGTCCATGTTGTATCAATTCATATTGCACAGGATCTTTTCAGAGGACGAGTGGCTTCAAATTTCTACTCGTCCTGCATGCTTTGCTACTCATCCTGTATTTTTGCCTTGATTTTCAAGATAAACTTCACCGATGCATTAGTACCTCATCAATGTAAAAGACCGCTAAAAATTCTCATAATCATTCAATTTCTTAACATAAATTTAACAAACCAAAACCGGAAACAAAGCTTGTGTTTTAGGTTATGTATAAATCGCGCACTTTATATTCCATGGTTAAATGTAAACAAACTAATTTTAAGAATTCTAGCTTTCTATTACACTTGACCGAAAATGTGTGATATAGATACAAATGTACATGTCAAGGCTAATATTTGAAGTTCAAGCAGGTTAAAGGGACTCAACTGAGTATTTTTACCACTGGGAATATATATACCAGATGTATGTACAATTTGATGTAGATCTGACCCAGTATCTTATATGCAAAATTTCAAATCATTCCCTTAATTGCTCAGTCATTCCAGAAAACTTATTTATGACCATTGATGGAAGGTGTTTAAATGGTTAAACTCAAATTGGGTTAAGAATCACATAAAAATATGTTTTTCAATTAAATCCTAGTAAATTTCTGTATTATGCTTTGGGCATCTTTTTGGAAAGTTGTTCAATGTAAGAAATTCGAAATTTCAAATTGTATGCCTTTAGGCGTTTGGTGGTTCTTTCTTTAAAAGGTTAATTTATACAGAATTTTCTTATTTTAACTGTGTAGGAAGCTGTCAGCTTATAAATACACACTCAAATACATTCCTGGAATCAACCATTATTGAGAAATGAGTATAAAGTTTCCTGCTTTAGAAAACAAAGGCTTTCTCTATTGGGGTTTAAACCTAAGCACCATGTGACCCTTAGATTACTAGTCTGATGCATTAACCACTTGAACATGTGGCCACTTAAAAGGTTCAATCATTTACCGTTATCTCTAACTCCAAGAAGCTGTTTCTGGACCTGTGTTACTTCAAGTTGTCTACTGAACACACAGTATGATATGTAGGTATATATATCAGAGATTATATTGAGTATCAACGCCAGGATTACCACAAATTCTGAAAATAGACAAAAAACATACACATATTTGAAGAATTGTTTTATTTTGAAGTTTTTTCAAGAACTGAGAAAAAAGGTATTATTTTCAATTGGAAATATTAACCAATATCTGTGACCAATATTATATTAGCCATAAAATTGTGTTTTGTAGTGCATATTATCTTAACAGAAGTAAAAGTCTATCCTTTACAGAGATATTTGAATGAAATATAAACAAAATGTTATGTATCTCACCTATTAACCACAATATATTGCTCTTTACATCCAGACTACCAGACACTACATTGTAGTTCCTGAAAAAAACAACACCCATAATGATGCAAATTTTGTTACTATTTTGTTCTTTTTTTATCTTTTTAGTAAAACTTTTATTCTACTTTTAAACAAATACATCTACAGTGCTGAAAGTACATTTTAAGATGTATCAAACATTTCCGATATCAATGTAAAGGTATTTAATATGAAATTAAAAACTACACCTCACTAACTCACACATTCTCACCTCATCAGATAACTTTTAGTTTTTTTCATGACCAGACTTTTCTATATTAAAATATGCATGCAGGGCTCACACTGGCTCAAATAAAATAATAGCCAATAATTTCAACTTAAAAAAATAATAGCCAAAAGTTCAGCGGACTATTCACGAATTAGTGATTAACAACATAAGCAGTTGATTAAATAAACATTACATTTATATCTTTCAGCTTTATAAGGATTCTCAAATAAACTGATACATTTGTGTATATTGAAAACTACCTTTTTTAAATAGAACCACAACTTTAATTGTTATTATAGAACAGAGTAAAAACGTTATGATTAGTATAATTACTGTATAACAATAATATTAAAGATTCATTATAACTTTACATAATGCTGTTATCAGACAACTTTTTTTGTTTGTTCTTATCAAATTTTGTCAGCTATAACCAATCATCACACAGAACTGGAGTAGATCTAGATCATATTAGCCTATAGAAATAACACAAGTTTGCAAACTCATTCACAGAATGCAGCCTTTTTTCTGAATAATTTACTGAAAAATATCATCATCACCAATGTAATACGAATTTTCTGCCATAATAGTAAAGATTTTTAAACAGAACATAGCTTATTTCACCTTTAAATAAATATCAAAATTATCGGTGTCGCGAAAATATGTGACAATCGGATTTTTTCTGTTTTCTGAAGAAATATTCACAATTTTGGTTGTTGTGCAAATAGTTGTTTGGAATTTAATACTTTTTAAATATTTTACCATTGTTTTCCACTGGCGATTTAGTCAAGTAGCTTAAAACAAAAAAAATCGAAATTTGCAATTACTGGAATAAAATTTCACGGTAAATTTTGGGTAAGTCAATATCCAGTTTATCAATTTTAAACCAATTTTTGTGGCTAATTGACGGATATTTGATGGCTATTATAAATGCTGGACAATATCTTTAAAGTACTTATACAATTATACATCTCGCATGTATTTTATCACCTCGGGCAATATAGTTAGCAGCACGTGACCGTTAAAAAGTTGACACTCAATTAAATGCACCCCGCTGGTGTTAATTGGGTCTACTGCATTCATTATCGATTTTTACACCTGATATAAACACTGTTGGAAGTAAAAAATAATCGCCAGATTTTGTAGCCAAAATGCAAAAATAATCGCCAATCTTATAAAATAATCGCAAATGGCGACTATGGCGACCGACAGCGTGAGCCCTGTGCATGTTTTGACATCATTATTATTCATATATTAAAAGTTAATTTGATACAAAACAGTATACAAGAAGTACAAAATGCATCTGAGACACTGTCATGACTGATGATCAAGAATATCTAAATTAATTACATTTCCAAGTAGAGGAAAAATGTGGCAGCAATATTCATAAAGATTGATATAAAAGACCGCCTCGCATCTTTCAGCAAAAGTCTCTTCTTCCAGGACTTTTCAACAATTTCACAAGATGTTGGACCTTGTACCACTGGAGAAGGGCTCTCTGACAGGCCCATTGCTTTCTCTGTCTCTAATCTGTAAATAAACACCTATAATTTTTACTCTGCAGCAATTTTTTCCCATACACAAGAGGCATTGAACAGGGCATTTTTTGTTAAAATTGTGAAGGGGCCTGGACCTGTTCATTTTGTTAAAAAAAGCGGGATTTGTTATAAAATTGTGAAAAAAAATTTACGTAGTATTTGGTATTTAGTGACATTATAAAACCAGAAAATCTGCTTCAAGTCGATACTTTTGAAATTGTGAATTTTTTCCGCCACTTTGTGAAAAAAAAAGTGCAATTTTGAATTGTGAAGGGAAAAAAAGCCCTGTTGAATAACAGACTATTCACAATCACCAACAGTATTTCACAATTTTCAGAATGTCTGATGGACTCATTAACAGTTCTGCAAAAAATTCACAAACAATAAATTCTACAGCTTTCAATTTTAATTTTTATTTTTTCTTAATTTTAACTTGTAACAGTGATTAAAATTGCAATTTGTCATCAATTGTGTCCTTTTGCTACTTGTGAAAATTTCAAATATATAAAAATATAGTATTCAAACAAGACATCATTATGTTTCATTTTTCCCATAAAAATCTTAAAATATCGTAATTTAAACCTTGACATATTTGCACTTTAATCAGAACAGAAGACTGCATCTATGGTATTGTAACTACATGTTGTACACACAACAGTGTGTATTGTAAAAGCTTTGTCCAATGCACAATACCTACACCGCCCTTTCTGAACCATGTAGATTTTCTTTTGTTAACGGTTAAGCAAACAATCAACAAATTCTCAAACCAAGCTCGTTCTGAATAGGTTTGCTTACTTTCAAACTTGTCACAAGGTGAGAAAAATATGCAAACTGACCAGGAACATATGAATACAGTTCCCCGGCTTTACAGACTTAGCTATCTGGACGCTTACACATTATCTTTCCTAATTAATGCGACATTTCTGACCGGTGACAAACTTTTAACTGTTTAATCAAACTGATGTCACTTTCTAAGTAACAAAAAGAAATCTTAATTGAAATAAAAAGTCATTTTACTAGGAAGAAAGTGGAGGAATCACGGGAAACAACAAGAACAAAAATACTGACAGTATGCCCTTTTTTCATACATTCGTGCCTCTTGAGCGCTAAATCAGCGCATGCGCAGTAAATGTTTATCACATGAAAGTAATTTTTGGTCAATCATGTATACTCAACTCTCATTTTTGTTATTTAAATTCAATAAACATGAAAAACAATTATCTATTTTTAGTATCTTACCTTTTTTATGACGACCTTGACCATCTGAATCTATCAAACGCTTTCTCATTCATTTCGTGCTTTTTGATTGGTCCTCCGTGTTACGGTGTATTATTTAACCCTAAGGTCAGTATACTAAGTTCAATTTAAAAAGTGTCCATTTACTGGCATATAATCATAAAACTTGTGTCAGTGGTGTGTCTTGCTAAAGAACAACAGCCTTTAAAAAATCATATCCATACTAGTTTTAATGAACATTTTTAATGTTGTTTTGACTTTTGTGATTTCTTCTAACAAGGTAAGTAAACTGATAAGAGTATCTGACCTTATTTGCAATATAGCAACATTTGACCTAAATATTTTGATTCTAAAAGCCTTAATTAATATGCTTATTTTGTTTCTGTGTGTGTAGATCAGACTTCCCGAAATACGTCGGTCCGACGGACATGTCAGATAATATTTGATCAGGTCCGACGAGTTTTTATTCCGAATCGGTCCGACTGTCCGGCTTTTATCCAAGCCGCATGTATACAAAATGGCGTCGCTAAAGGTGCCAAACCTCGGAAAAATAAAAAATCTACGTCAGAGGAACAGGCAAAACAGCAGTAAAAGGATAAAAAGAATAGACCTGAGACAAAATTTAATGAAAAGTAGAAGCAAGACAGTGAATCGTTGGTGTATGATAGGGAGGAGATGAAAATGCGCTGTAAGGAATGTGCCGATTTTTACGGCGAAAAAAATAAAAACAAAAAGTGTCTTAGAAATACAAACACAAGTCATTCTTTGATTTTGATCAATTTTATTTGGTCCGACAGATTTCGTTTCGGTCCGACAGATTTTCATGGTTTGTCAGACCGAATGTCTGACAGTTTTTTTTCAACTTTCGGGAAGTCTGGTAGATATAAATTAATTTGCTCCCTAGATCAAAAGGATGCACACCACAAAGATATAACTAAACAAATTGCAAATGTTAATTGAATGTTAATTGGTTATTATATTTTGTCGTGTGACTTTTTAAGAATAGTATATAATGATAAATCTAACACGGAGCAAAGGAAATTTCGTCACGTGACATGAAAAAAATGGACACCGGCAAATATGAAACAGGAAAATTTTACGAAAAAGTTGGATTTTTTGCAAATTATGAATAAAAAGTGAGTTTTTTTGTGTTTAATAGCAGAAGTAGCAATGTATGGACACGATTTAGCAAATTATTCATGGATTTACACCTGTTTTTTTCTCATTTTCTGTTGATGAGTGCTAGTCCTAATTATAAGACCTATACGTAACCTATTTCATATTTATCATTCATTAATCTGATATTTTACATTTTTCATTTTCCATGTTACGTTAGGTCTTAACAGATCTTTGCAAAATCGTGTAGCAAAAAAATTGACATTAGACATCGATTTAGATCTAATGAATTTAAACAATTAAAACAGCGTGTATTTACATTAATTTTGACCTATTTATGAACAAAACTAAAAAATAAATACCTTTAAACAAAATAATTGAACTGTCACAACCGAAAAGTCATGATTAAATCCTCTCATTTAATTAAATTCTTTGTACAGCTGATATACAAATGGCCGCCATACAGTGCGCGAAATCTGATTGGCTAATTCAAATGCAAGCGTTTAAATGAGTCCAGAAGTTTCTAACAGAATATTTTTTCAACGAAATAATTGCCCATGCACCGTCAGTGTGTTCGAATATATTTTTCCGTTCAAAAAATTGGAATCAATCTGTAAAACGCTTTACTTAACCAGTATGGCCGATGAGCGAAATAGACTGATATTTATATTTTATTTTTAATTGATAAGTACATTGTTTTAAAGTTTTTGTTAATGATAGACCATGCAATTGAAAGAACAGAAGATAAGCTTTTGAATAAAGCTTCAAAGGCAAGTCAACAGACTTTTTTTTAATTTTTCAAAATGCTACGCGTTTTTGAGCAATAACTATTTGACGTAAAGGCTTGACCAACATAAAACTATAACAAGCCTGTAACGTCTAATCTATTGGACTAGATGAGTGCTAGCCTGCAAGTTGTCAAAACAGTTGCATAGTAATCGGATATGCACGCGATGTGCACGAGCGTATATTCTGTAGGCACGAAATGTATGAGAAGGCACGAATGAATGAGAAATGGGGATAAACCTTTTCTTTTAGCGGTGTTCAACCCTCAAATAACCTGAAACTATTTATTTTAGAATTTGTTCTATTCTAACAGTAAATTTTTCACAGGTTGAAGTGTTTTCAACTGTAACGTAATATTTTAATCTTGGAGAATTACTTTGGACTTACATAAAATCTGCTATACGAGATATATTTTAATAAATTCACCTTCTTCGATTACCGCTTTCCCCACTTCCTTCGGTGCGTAAAATTATAAAAGGGAAGTAACTTTGTATAGAAAACTTATAAATAGATTGCGACTTAAAGCTAAATTTGCGGCACAATCTTTGCAGTGGTTGGCTCAAAATTATTTCACGTTTGAATGCATGCCTGTTTTAATCTTCGCAATATTGTATCAACTTTCTTACGCATTCCAGTTTCAAAAAGTCTCAAATTTCACATTGTTGTTTCGCAAACAGGACATTTCGGCCCCAAACCAAATCGGCCCCAGTTTTTCGAAAAATCCCGGCCCCTGGACGTTTATTTTTAAGGCCCTTTAATTTCCGCGAGACGCTTTCGCCCCACTTTATAGTGCAATTCGCCCCTTGATTAAACAACAATTAAATTTAATTAACATTAAAAACAATATACACTTTAAATTCTTTAATTAATTATTTTATTTTATCTTTTTTTGAATATACGTTAATAGTTTTAAAAGGTTGTTAACAATTACGAATAAAGGCATTGGGTTTACTTATTTAATAAAAAAACCCACCAACTAATTTCTTGGGTTGTAGAAGTTAAAAAACAATTAGCTGGGGATAGGAAATCTAGCCGATTCGAAAATACACCCCAACAAACAGATTGGGCCGGTATCAAATTGCGGCATAACACAGACGTAGGGTTAATTTTTTGTCCCCTTCATTTTTTCCTCTAAAAATTTCCAATGAAATGGGTTTCCCCCTTGCTGTAAAAGCGTACACCCATATAAAAACCTTCAACTTTCTCACAATTTTTCCCCCTGGCAACACAGAAATTTATATTTCAATGGTGTTCCGGTCGTAACTTCTTCCTTGAAAGCGCGGGTCAACAGATTCGAAGCCCCGAGAAAGAAAATTTTTCCAACCGGTTTTTGTCGTGGTAACCGTAAACCGGGCTTCTTCACTCAAATTAACGCTTGTTTCCTTTTAACATAATATGTAAATTAACCCTGAAACCACTGACTTTAAAAAGTTTGTAATAATGGTTTGTCAAGTTAATCCAAATTCAATCGCCCCATTTTTGGACTAGATTTTACCTGGTGTAAAATTATTAATTATCGGGGCCCATTTTCCGGAATGATCAACGTAAGGGCGCATAAAATAATTCAATGATTAACGTACGGCCGGCAATTTTTTCTACTTGGTTTTGATTTTCCTATTTGTTCCCCCAGACTCAAGCCTGATTAATAAATTTAAATTTTGTTATGTAGGAAAATGAAATTAGATTTATTTGTTCCCCATCTCCAGAAAAAAATAAATGATTGACAATGGCTGGCACATCCGGGTAAGCAAATATACCCTTTTCTAGTCCTGGTGGCTTATTAGATTTCGGTGTAAAAAAATATACCAAGTAACATTCAACTACGTTTTAAATTTAGTGATTTGGATTTTTTTTGTATAAACTCTCATCAGAAAATTTGTGGGTATTGTTTTGTTTCACAATTAAATTTCTGCCAGTGTGGTTGTGTGGGCGATAATTTATAATTGGTCCCCTTTTTATCCACTCCCTTTATCAAAGTTAACAAAAAAAGAAAGAAATTTGGCGAGTTATACGGCAGAAGCCAAAAAATGTTTTTTAAATGGTCAACGGAAGACTTGATTTATATTTTTTCACTCCTGAAATTAACCTAAAAATATATCTGTGTTTAAAAATTACTTGGATAAAAAAAATCCTTAATTTTTGTAAACTCACGGTCAAAACATAAAAAAAAACGAAAAGTGATTTGCCGACCTAGCTTACAACCGGCAGAGATTAGAAATGAGCACATGTGTTATTTATACAATATCAATTGGTCGCCCTCATCATAAGAAGAAAATATGAATGGAGTATCACAAGGAGTTATCTCCTTAATATTTTGGAAATTTATTTTAAAAAATTTAAGTTTAAGAAAATAAATGCATTATTTTGCGAAAATTCAATAAATTTTTTTATTAAATAAGAATTCCCATTTTTAATATTTGACGAAAACCGTTTTGCTCGCTATTCTTAGGCGGTGGGATGTTACTGTTTTATGCCACTATGACGTCAGATATATTTTGCACGACGACATATTCCGTACAGTTTTTTTTTATTATAATTGATTTGATCAAAACAATTACATCCAATTCATAAATCTTGCTGCCTATCATATTTTGGCGTTTTTTTTTTCTCCGCAAACGCCCCCCAACAAAAAAACAAATTTTTTTCCAAATCTCTTTTACAAAATAGTATTGGCATGTATCAGCCAATAAAAGAGTGTCATTGAAATTTTTGCGGTAAACATTTTACCGACCATGATAAAGCTTTCAAATCGGAATTTATTGGATTTTCGATGTTTTTATCTCATGTCCGAGAAACCCGTCCCAGGCTTTTGAAATCATTAAAGCTAGACCGCTCCATGAATGCCGCTTTCAGATGACGTCATTATCTTTATGAAAGAACAGCTTGTAAAATTACTTACGCCTACTATGGATTAATAGTGTTGTACGAAGTATGTCTTATTTAACATGGATACATTTCGTATATCCACTATTAATCAACACATAGTTAAGCCGTAAGTAAATACAGTATCTGTGTTTGTTCCTTAACAGAAAAATTTAAGAAACTTTTTTGACTAAGGATCGGATAGCGGGCCCCGGCAGAATTGTTTCTTTTTCCCCGTAGAAACCAGCTTACGGAAATGAATTACTAACATACTAAGCTTAGTGGTCCAAGGCTTTTTATTTGGCTTTCATTAAATATTTTACTTTCCCTTTTTCGTCACAATACCCTATTGTCAAATGTTTACACGTTAACACGGGTTTTCTCTATTATTTTTAAAAGACTTTATTGAAAAATAGATTAGTTAATGTAAGTCGCTACCCCAAATTTTATTTCTCAGCCACCACACATGAAACAGCCGCTTGTAAATCTTAAAAAAATTAAATTGGCGTTTAAAAAATTTTTTCATTGAAGAACACTGAAAAAGACCGAATAAACCTTTTCATTGGATCTGTATGGTGAATTTCCCGTTCCCCCAATAGTCGATTACTCATTCATGGGAACAATGCTAATTAATAGTGGGACGCTATAATAAGGTGGCCAAAAAAGCCCCTTAGACACTTAGTAAGTTTTAGTATTCCATTATCCCGTAGCTGTTTCCTACAAAGAAATTAAAACTATCCTTCTGTCCTAACCGCCATCCGCTCCCGTCAAATCCTATTAATTTCCTCCTATAGAAACAGTACGGGAAATAAGAACTAACAAATATACATTAAGATTTATTTTTATTGGATAATTTGCAGAATTCTAAGTTTCACTTTTTGAAACGAAACTCTTTTAAGATCAAACCCAAAGGTTGAGTTTGCTATATATTCGAAGTATGGAATAAATGCCAAAGAAAACCAATACACTTTCGTGATTTTACCCTTCCTAATTCCCGCGGGATTTATACTTTTTAAATATTCATTCAACAAAAGCTTACCTGCAACAAGGCTTTTTAAGGTTAAGCCAAGCAATTCCGGGTTAGCCCATTGGCGAAGAGCCCCTCGGGATCGGATATTTTTCTAATCCGATACAAAAAACAACATGAGAACAGAATTTATTAATGCCAAAACACTAAATAATAATTCAGTTTTTCTTTAATTTTGGGGGTTTTTTTTCTTTAAAACCAATTCTCTTTAATTGGTCCTGGGGTTAACTGGGTAACTAACTTTTCTCTTACATAGAAAAATCAATAGCAAGACAAAAATGCGCGGCCCCCCGTACGGGGGGTAATCAATTGTTTATTTTGTGGCGCCATAAACGTTAATCATTTCCTGAATGCCCCGAATTTTAATTATTTTCCACAGCGTTATTTCATCTAGCCAAAGAATGGGGCATTGAAATTGCTTAGATGCCGACCATTTCAACCTTTTTTTTTAAAATTTAAGGGGATTTTCCAAATTTTAATATACATATATGTAAAAGAAAAAAGTGGAATTTTGAGAAGGAGCCCCTAGGGTTAACCCCAGATCAAAAACCCGGTTTTTTTGGAAAAAATTCCCCTTTTGGGTTTTTGAAAACTGGGGACCCCCGGGAAAATTTTAGAAGAAGTAAAAGGGGGCCCCAAACAACCATGAAAATTTAAATTTCTGTGGGGCCAAGGGGAAAAATTTTGGAGAAGGGGTTTTTATAAAAGGGAACCCCTTTTTTTCAAAATGAACATTTTTACGAAATTTTCAGAGGAAAAAAGGGGGAAAAAATTTCTTTTTTGGCCCCCCAAAACAACATTTTGTTTGGGTTACGAACGGGCGTGATTTCCTCCCCGTTTAAACATCTATATTATTCATTATTTCGTGTAATAAAAATATTATTGTTAAATGATTATCAAACATATTTAATAGACATTTGTATATTGAAAGAGTTTCAAATTCTCAAGAAGAGGGAAATGTAACGATATCAGATACTAGTTTAACCTGCATGATTATTTTACCTTGACCTTTATATTATCAGTTCTATTCCATTAATGCTTGAATGGGCAGTTCTTATTTATAGACAGGCGATTCCCGCCACTATAGCCAGTTCTGAGATTAAACTTGAAAAGCTCACACCTGTGTTCTTACTTCAATCTATTCACATTTGTGAATTACTGAACTCCGTATCCATAATAAATATACGTACATAAATTATACAAGAAATATTACAATCTTAAAATATTATCTATATATGGTGTAAATAATTGTTTGTTTGTGTATTATATTTTTTCAAATAAAGTTTATATTCTGTTCTGTTTGTATTGATTACTTTTCCCCTAAAACTACTTTTCAAATCTAGTTTTTATACAAAATGATTAAATATATGTATTAATTGATTCATTAATTTATTGAAATTAATATATCGGTTTAAAATACAGTACTTATTTTGGGACCGATTTGGTAAAGGGCCGAAACGTCCGGGGCCGAAACGTCTTGGGTAGTTTGGGGCCGATACGTCTTGGGGCCGAAATGTCTCGAAATCGTTCCAGTTTTAAAATCTCACATTAATACACGCGTATGTTATTTTCGATATTCACGCCAATTTAAAACTTCACATTATTATAATAACTTTGTCACGCATTTCACACGGATCCAGAAATTTTGGACCGGGTGATGGCATTATAGTTTGATGTAGCCAAACTACCCCTCTTTTAG